CTGAACATCACAGAAAAGCTGCCTCACATCTTTCAAGCATTTAAAAAAGAAAGTTCAGTCCATTCTGAAGACTGAGAAAATCATCTGTTTGGGGACACTCAAAGAACACCTTCAGATCTGGGAGAAGAGCCATGTTAAACTTGTCACTTTGCTCTCCAGCTTCCAGAAAGTCTTCCCAGTTGTTCAAGGGCTCTGGTTCTTCGCAGAGCTGAATTCTCATACTCAGCCAAATAAACAGCCAAATTTTGGTTTTTATTAAAAATAGCTGCAAGCCCATCTCTTCCATCTGGGAACCATCTGCCATGAGGATGCCCGAATGTTTGTGGCCAGCAACTTGTAACACATGCTCCCTCTTTATTTTTAAACCCAGGAAGAATTATGGTGCTAATTTAAGAAAGAAGTTCAGCATTCTAAGACAAAAGTTATAGAGGAAAATGCTGCCCATAACCTTATGTTCGCATTCTTAGTTTTGTCTAACTTTTTATAGCTCAGTGGAAAGGTAACTGAACTTTCTGGTAGTATCTCCTAGCTAATAAGAATTTAGCATGATTGTGTGGGTGGATATGTTTTAAAAAAGGTTTTTTTTATTAGACAGAAACAATTCAGGGACTGAATCCAGGTCACTTGATGTTTCCTTACAAGGAGCCACTGGATATGCCAAAGAAAGAATAATACTAAAGGTTAGTTGCATGTACACTTTCCAGAGCATGTGATTTACTCCCATCAAGTAGGGGGACATGCTGTGAAAGTTTTTTTTCCATTTGATTCTGGGTACGACTTTATAGCCAAATACCTTTATGATTAGTTTAAATCCCCTATAAAAGTCAAAGGTCTGCCTGCTTTTTCAAGAAGGAAATGTTAACAAATATCTGAAATTCTGTAGGCAAAAATCACAAAACTATGTCTAGCTTATTTTGGCCATGTCACGCAGAGGGAATTTATTGGAGAAAGCAATTATACTTGGAAGTGTTAGCAGTAAAAAGAAACCAGGCCACTAAAGAATGGGTTGGCTGGGCACCATCACAGCAGGCACCAGCCAGAGCACAGAACAACTCAAAGGAGTACAAGATCGGAAGAAGTCGAGAGACCTGGCCCGTAGAATTGCCAAGAGTCAGACATGATTGGATGGATAACAACACTGTCATCATCATCATTCAAGATGGCAAATATCCTTTGACCTAAAGTCAATTCATAAAACTTAGCATTGTCTCCAGATATAATTCAGCCATAGGGTATATTGCTAAGCTTAATTTACTCTAAATTTCATCTATCTGCATCTTGTTTTATCTCACTGCATATTTGTGTCCCTGATTTTTAAAAAACTGTTTTATTTACATTGCTCAGTAGATATTTATGTGAAGAGTGGCAGAATAGGATTGTAGCTAAACTAAAAAAAAATGATTTCTCCAACTTGCAGTAAGCGTGCTTGTGTTCCTTCTAAGACTGGGCTTCATTAGCATTCACTACAACCAGAATATAGTGGCTGCATTCTTGTTAATCATAAGCCAATGGGGAGTGGGTTTCTGGCCAAATCCCAACTACATAAAGATTTAGGATATTGGCAGTTTAGCCAACATGAACGCTCTCTTTTCTGCAGTGAATTTCAGATGAGACTGAAACATCCATGATGGGATCTCATGCACGATTTGCTCTCATTATGAATGCAGGTGAGGGGTGCAATGTAATTCATATTTGACTCAGGGTCAAAATACTAGATAATTTGCTACCCACAATGCAATCTTCATTTCTTCCCCATGCACTTCAAGATGGTATTTGCTCTTGTGTGGGAAATCAGGAAAGTAGCTTGTAGGGATGAAAAGGGGAAGGAAATGTATTTTCTAATGTAGCCTTTTTTTCAGCTAGTACCCTCCAGCCTTCCACCGCAACCAATAGCTATGCTGGCTCAAGACTATAAGAGTCGTAGTTCAATGTTTCTGAATGGCACAGAAAGGCTGCCTTGCAGCTTTCAAAATGTTTTAAGAAGAAACTGCAGTGCAATCTTTTAATGAAGTGCTGAGAATTGCCTGTGTCCTATCCCCTCTTACAGCTGCATTTACATCAGCTGCATCATTACAGAGTAAGTTCCCTCTTGATCATCACCTGCAAAGTAAAATGGAGCATGTTCCACACCCTACAAAGATGCTTTACAAGGCCAGAACCACAGAGAACATATTGTGGCAAAAGCAGTTATCACCACTACTACCACCATCATCATGGCTAGATCGACTATCATTGCCATTATTATTACAATCACAAATTCTACATCTTGAACAAGGTCTAAATCAGTGAAGAATTTGGGCATGTGGCTCAGAGCTCCATTCTGTGCCATTGCCAAACTACCCCATGAGTCTGTGGTATGAAAAGGAGAGGGTGGTAGAAGTTATGCTGAACAGAGCTCCCAGCCATATGAAGGGATTAGAGTACCAGATTGGTATATGCACAACATAGATGTAAGATTATTAAAATGTGGGGGTTGGCACACGACCTGGAGTTTAGTCTAGGTTACAACCTCCATCATCACCTCCAAATTAGAGCTGATCATAATTTTGTCTTTGGAAACTTCCTGACTCAAGGACATGAGGCTTAATTATCCTAAGACAGGATCATGCATCAATGGCAAGTTGTGTATTTTGCATGCAGAAACCTTTAACAAAGAGAGCCAGTTTGGTGTAATGGTTAAAGTGAAGGCCTAGAAACCAGGATATTGTGAGTTCTAGCCCTACCTTAGGCATGAAAGCCAGCTAGGTGATCTTGGACTGTTATGGGAAAAATAGGAGGAAGGAGTATTACCATATGTATGCTCCCTGTCTTGAGTTATTTATAAAAATAATACAGATGGGATTAAAAAAAATCTTTAAAAGTTGCTGGGTATCGGTATGAACATTAAACAATGGTCCAAAGCACTGAAATACCATAGGATTGATTAGTTTGTATCTCAGTATCATACAGTATGTGACCCTAACCAGCATAGTTTATTGTTCAATGTATGAATCTAGCCAATTACATTAATTTAGTAAATCTTAGTTTAGTGAGATGCAGGTTAGTATCAAGTGAGAATTGAGCCACTCTATAGTGTATGCGAATCTTGTGGCTAAATGATTTATCTGATTGGGGAAGGAATAACTACTTTGATAAAAGATGGAAACCGTTTAGAGACTTTTTGTTGAAAATGAATAAAAACGAATTGATGATCTTGGGATTTACTGATTAAAAAGGATTGTTTATAGGAAAAAGGGAATCAAGATTGGGAGAGTGGAAATGCTAATAATGTGTTTATAATGACTGTAAAGTAGATCGGAAGGCACTTGTTTAGAATTTTTTTAATCCCACCCTTATTTTTATAAGTAAGGGAGAGAACATATTTAATAGTCTTTCCTCCTCCTATTTTCCCCACAACAGTCCTGTGTGGTAAGATGGGCTGAGAGAAGGGGCATGGCTCAAAATCACCCTGCTGGCTCTCATGCCTAAAGTGAGACTAGAACACAAAGTCTCCTGGTTTCTAGCCTGGTGGCTTTTTTTCTCTCTCTCTCTCTTTTTCTCTTTTGACTTTTATTGCTTTTCTCTTTTCCTCTCCCTTTTTCCTCATTCTTTCTTTGCATTTCGGTAGTTTTTAATTCTATACAATTGTCTTCCCAATAAAAGTTCCATAAAAATACAAGAAAGAAAACACGAATCTCGCAGCACAGCTTGTTGCAGTTCCTTCCTTTTTCTTTTTGAATCACAAGGGCATTTAGCGGTTCCTTCGCTCTCATCCTCTGCATGTTCCCCTGAAAAGAACCCACCACGAGGTAAGATACGTAAGGAATGGGAATCAGTAAACATGCATCAGGTTCCTTTTTTTGTCTAAATAGTATGTTCAGAGACAGCTGAGCAGGAAGTTAAAATCCATACAAAGCAGCCCAGAGAAGAGGCTGCTCTGCGTGCTTTGCTGGGAAAGAAAAAATGACTTCAGAGATAGCTGTGGAGTAGCTAGCTTGCACAGATAGCTCCTTGCACAGAGGAAGTCTTAAGCTGAGGCCTTTCAGATATTCTTGAACTACAACACCCAGCATCCCTTCCCTTTGACAGAGTGCCTGAGGAGTCTGGAAGCTAACAATGAGTAGCCACAGGATCACCTCACCCCCAGCCTTGTCACGGAGGTGGCATTCCTGAGCACAGCCAGAGTTTTCAATGAGGACAATGAAGAATTTGGTGGGTCTCCTTAGGTGGTTGGCCAGGGTAGCACACCAGCCTCTAAGTCCAGGCTATGGTTAGCTGGCATGCCGAGTTCTCCTGTGGGTGTCCTGCAGAAAAATCGTTGGAGGCCCCCCTCCACAGGGTTCAGCATCCAGATATTTTTTTCCTCTCTCCAGTTCCCCCAACAAGCTAGAAAGAAACCTGGCAAACTAGAAAAAATTTGACAGTTTGACTCTTTTATGAACACAGGGATTTGTCTTATTGTGAACCAAATTGTTGCCCTTCTAGTTGGTGGTTTTTTTCTCCAGATCAGCAGTACTACAACTAAGTTGTTGAGGCCTTTCCTGATCCAACAACTGGGAACCCTGGTTTGGGCTGTACCCTGAGTTGTGGTCCTTTCTCTACTTCCTACTTCTTGTTTTCATCAAAGCAGCAACTATTTAAAGCTGTGAAATGGGAACAGACTCTTATCAAATTTTCAGTTCTTATCGAGACAAAACAAGGCGAAGTATGTTTAGCCAATTCTGGCCATTAAAAAAAAATTAGAACAGTTGCTGAGAAAGCAAGACTATTCTCAGACCTTTTTTTTTTAAATCATGCATGTTAGAACACAGTGTTACATTCAATTACTGGCTTCATCCTTAGAATGAATACCCTGACTGAGGTGTCCGTCATTACTTCAGTACCAACACAAGGATTTGGCATGTCTTAGAGCCCCCAGAAGAATGATGTTAGACTAAATTGTTAGTTAAGATTCTTAATCAACCTTGGCTTTGTTTGCCTGAACAAAGTAACACTGGAAAAAAATTCACAGCCACCTAGAGTTCCAAGAAATTGTATTTCCTTTATTATTTTAATTTTTTTGTAACTCAACAAGTTTCCATTTTTTTAAATATTTTTAAAATTTTCATTATATATTTTTTTCTGTTTAATGCACTCGACCCAAAATTGGTTTGGCATGTTGAGGGGAAGGGAAAGGAACTGAAAGATAGAGAAATGGAAAGGAAGAAGAGACGTACTAGACCAAAGCGGTGGAGTGAAAATAGAAATGAATCAGCACCATGGGAAAGAAGGGGAAGTGAGGGACCAAGGTGAGAGAGCACGAGTCAAACTATTCCCCACGAGCCCTGACCTCTTGGCCCAGGCCTTCCTTCACGCTGCCATTCAAAAGGCACGGCTTCACCGGTATACCTGGAGGGAAACTGAACTGGGAAAGCAATGGAGGCAGGGAAAGGGCTGGGATGGGACAGCTTCAAAGAGGCAGTGTGGCTTGAACCGGAAACTAGCCTGATGCTCTCCAGAGTGTGCCGCCATCATCTTTTCGGCTGTCACACATCCCCTCCCTGTCCTAGTGCAAACACTTCTCTTGCACAGCTGTGCTTGCTTGACATAGAAATATTTCATGCAACCTACCCCAACCCAGTCTCTTCCTGACAGTATAAGTCTCATCATCCCCAGCTAGCACCACTGTTGGGGTAGACTAATCTACAGACACAAGAGCTCTCAGTGGAACCCCTGCTAGTCTTGCTTTAAGGGCACCCCAGCACACACAGAGAGGCACAGGCTGGTGTGTAGGACCTTAAAAAGAAGACCAGTTTCAAGTGAGGAGCTGCTGGGATAAGGAGCCAACAGAAGACTCTTCCTCATCAAATAATAGGAAAATGGATTCCCCTTAAACAGAGATCCTACCGGAGCACCGGTCTTGTTCATGTAATTTGAGAAGGATGAGCAGTTCTCCACTTTTGAGAGCTGCTGGTTGCTGGTTCAGGCTTTGTAGCTGTCCTAGCATGGACTTTGCAAAATAATAATCCTTCAGCCTCACACATGAAAAGTTTGGAAGCAGCCTGAGAGTTCCTAGCAGAGAAAGAAGTGCATTTCACTCTCACACAAAAAGGGAACAGAGTGTGTGTGCCACTGCTTCCAGTGATTAAGCTCAAAGTGATTTTTAGAGCAGCAGAGTCTGAGTTCTAAAGTTGCCCTAGAGGTAGTGCTGTCCTGAACTAGCTTATGCATATGTACCCCTCACGTTGACTTGCAGACAGCCAGTTTTAGAGAAAATAGAGATGGCCTTGAAGAGCAGACAACAGTGTAGCTGGTGAGGGCTGACTTCCCCACCCATCTTCAGAAGAATGGAGAATATAGACCATATGTTGGCCTCCATGCTATGCTGGCCTGAAGGCCAGAGGGGACAATTTGGATTAACTTGCACATCTGGTTGCATTGCACCAAGGCAGTGAAAAGAAATGGCTCTGGAAAAGCTGAATGGAATACTTTTGCTAAAGTGAATGGAGCTCACGGATTTGCATAAGTCTTAGACAAAAGTGTAGAGAAAGAGAACTGCAGTCCAGAACCTTCAATTAATAGATTGCAAGCAGAAATGAACACGATGCTCAGAACAACCAGAGACATTTAGAACAATTGTTGAATGGGAAACTGAGCAGACCCTCGTCAGGAATCCCATGCCCTCTCTGGCTATCAGCACGGACGTAGCAATTACTGTCTCCTAAGCGCTCACGATGAGCAATACCTATCTCCTGGTTTTCTTCTTCAAACATTTGATATTTTTCATTCCTTCCGGTGACCTCCAGAATGAGATTTCAGTATCATAAAATAAAAGACAAATATAAAGAGGCATCCTGTACAAAGACATGACGATTCAGTATCCGTACTATATTAATCTGCACAAGACCTAAGCTAAAGACACTCCGCCTGACCAACTCAATCCAGGACTTCAGAGAGAACGACACTGAGCTTTTTGGAAGCAGCACAACAGGACTCGGCGGTGCCCTTCTTTAGTGTATGTTGCTGGAATGAGGCAAGGGCACCTGAATGATGCTGTCCCCAGGAAAAATCTTAAGAAGCAAAACTCTATACTCTCCCAATAAACGCTCTTGCCATTTTGAAGGAAGTAATATCATTACTGCAGAGAGAAATTATATTCACCCACCAATTCTCGACAAACCTGTTAACAGATCCAAATGACACACATACACAAGGTCTTGGATTCAAGGTGGAAAGTGCAATGGTATCAGCTTTGCTGTGGCAGTAAACCCCACCCCTCACCCCCAGCAACTTCAGTGTTAGGGAGCAGCAAGCAACACAGTGCCATTCTATAACCTATGATAAAAATCTATTTAGAGCATAATTTTATTTTGGATGGTTTTATGTTCCTCCCCCACCCCCAAGAGCTATAAGAACAAAGAAGTGGGAAACTTCAGAAGTCTGAGGAGAAAGATTATTACATGTGATTATAAATAGAGGTGTAATGTTTAAATGTAATTGTAGCCCAGGCCTGTTATCTTCTGAAATGTTGAGTGTGGAGGTGTCCTCTATTTAAATTATAATAAGTTCAGTCTGCTCTGAGAGTAATTTCTGCAAATCACATATCTGGATTCCCACAGCTTGTTGTTATATTCTTTGGGCCTGCACTCCAAAAACAAAACAAAATCATTTTTAAAAAAATCTGCTACCAGGCCATTAAACTAGAACTCACCATTTGCATCAGGGATATTGTGATGCTGTTAATCCCTCTCTCCTCAAACATTCCCAGATAAAACTTCTGTAGCCTTAGACCAATATTTCTCAACTGTGGCAACTTTCAGATGTGTGGATGTCAACTCCCATAATTCCCCAGCCAGTATGTTATGCTACCTGGGAATTCTGGGAGTTGACGTCTACACATCTGAAAGTTGCCAAAGTTGAGAAGCACTGCTCTAGGCAGCCATACTGAGTGACATACTATTCCCTTTTATGCCATATCTGCTTATAGCTAGTTGTATCTCTCTACTCATTCTCATTAATACACAAAACTCTTTGGGGCTTCTCTCTTCAGCTTAAATTTAAAATACCTGTCTCTGTGTCTATATAACTTACTCAAGTTCAAAATAGTAGTGTTTTGCCTAGTGGCAACTAGCATTCAAAGAACAGGACAATGTTAAATTCCAAATTTGAGAACAGGAAGAAAAGCTGCCTCTCTGTATAAAACTGGCAATATTTGAGTTGATTCCAAGATTTGGACCCTAAAACCCCCTTATCACAACTGCTACCCACATTTTTTTTCTGGTACCAGGAGAGCACATGAAATAACACTGATATTAACTCATATGTTTGTCAATTTCCTCCTTCCTCCAAGTTTCACCAGCTGAATGGACCTTGAACACCTAACATGCAAGAAAATGCAAAGCTTTGTGTTGGGCTGCCAGAAACTCAATCCTCATAGCTTCAACTCTTTGCAGGGAGAACAAGGGCAGTCTTTGGTTTGTTTGTTTTCGTTTTGCTTTTAATGAGAGGTTTCCACATGGAGGTACCTCTTGGTATAAAACCCAAGGAGGTTCCTGAACCCAGAGCCTTCCTTGGAGCAACACAGCAAAGGGAAGTGGGGTGAATAAGGCCATTTGGTATTGGAAGGGGACTGATCAAAACCACAGGTCGTGGATGGAACAGGGAAATGAAAGCAGGACCTTAGTTTTACTTAATCACACATTGACTTGGGGGCAAAATCAAAACTGTGGCAGAAGGAGTGTGGACTCAGAAGGGTTTGCTAGCAACCCTAGCAATCCTCTCCACTTCTTGCGCCTCAATACCAATGAGTAATACAATAGCACAAAGGACAAAAAGCCCTGCTATCCATTTCCTTGTGCCCTGTGTCCTCATGATCTGGATATAAAGCAAAAGCTATTTGGACACCTTTAAAAAGTGCCAATTTCATTGTGACTAAATGCAGGAGTGTGACTATTACTGTGAGCTGAGGAGGCAGGAGGAAAATGTTTTATGCGGAATATTCCACCTAATTCTACTATGCATAATTCCTCTTGATTCAAAAACCCGCCAGCTCAAGCTCTGCACCCCAGAGAACTATCCATTTATCCTTAGATGTAAAGCTACGGAATGCCGCTCGCCTACATGCTCTGTTGCTGCTGGCAGATAACCTTCCACAGTATTTGGGTTATTGGTCGAAAAAGACATGTAGCATGGTTTCTCTTTTCCCCCAAATTATTCAAGGACAGTTTGGGGTGTCTCAGTGTTTGTTAGAAAGATCTAGTCATGTCACACTCTCAGGGAAAACTGAGGAACTGAAAATGCAAATGGATCAGGATTAGGTTTGCCTCCTGGTGAAACCCAAAGCATCTAAGGATCCTATATGGTAATTTACCGTGGAGGGAGTTGGTTCATTGTTAATATTGGCAGTGAGGTAAGAGACAGCGGGACGAGACACTGGAGGATGGTTCATTTTTCTCTCTGATGCTGAGAGAGAAAGCCCAAGCTATCTGGAAAGCTTACTGAAAAACAGCCGATTCTCTGTTTTAGCTGTCGACAGCCATCGATATACCATCTCTGAGGGGATTGAAAGCCAAACAAAATGAAATCAAAACACTGAATGCTTTGAGGCTCTGGCCAGTGAAACCACACACACCACTTACTTTCTTTGATAGAACGTCACCTGGCAAATGCCAGCCTGGATGTTTCAAATAAATACGTGCAGTGTGGCTTCTTAAAAAAAGGAAGTGAAACCCTACCTGCCCACCCCTGCTACTAAAATTTCTAAAAGCAAAGGATTTTCCTGGCATCTACAGCATTGCAGAACTACAGCATCTTTGGGTCTTGCGGTAAAAACTTTGAATTTTTTTCCCCCACCCACAGTTGCAAAGTGTCAGTTAATGAGAAAATAACCAACTTCATCAGGATGTATGAAAAAAGTACCTCATCTGGAAGGAAAGGGAAAATGCTTCAAGGTCACAGAAATGACGCAGTATATGTTATATATTACATAAAAATTGTGCCAAAATGTTTCTTTTTTTCCTTGATTGTAAAAATCTGCTCTTGGTAGGCTCCCCCCTCCATTGTCTTCATCAAAGAAGGGTTTTTCTTTCCCCTTTAATGCTCCCATATACACATGGGGCCAGAGCAGAGCGGAGTGCTATATATCTATATATATTAGGATATAGATATAGATATATTTCAAACCCAGACAGAAAAGTTCCTTGGTTTGTAGTTTTCCTTTTTCAAGTGAGTAAATCGATTCTTGGTTGTTGTTTTGAGGATCTCCTATTTACAGCATTTCAACTGATATCCCTTCCCCCTTCCCTTAGACCCCGTTCACCCTGCCCACCGCCCGCCAGAGATATGGTGCCTCTAGGTGAGACCGGTTCCTCCTCTAGCTCTCCCGGGACAAGAGCTGTTGAGTAAAATCGGAGTTGTGCTTGAAGAGGGAGATTTGCTATTTCTTCCTTTGGGGAAAAAGTGCAGTCTGGGTTAAGTGTTTTTGTTTTGCTTTTCTCATTTGTTTGAAAGATACAATCCATCCAGTTTTTTTGGGAAAAAAAGAGTTCAACACTCCTGTTTCTCCCCATGTGGTCCCAAATATGTTCGGATGGCAGCCATATTTGCATTGCAAGTACTCCTGATTTTTGCTTTTGCTTCTTCACAGGCAGGAATGAGACAGAGGGAAGAGGATTCTTCTTGCATCACTACTAAATGTTGGAGAAGGAACACAGTAGATTGGGTGAGGGATTGACCCAGCTGACAGCTGCCCTCAACTCCATCCCTCCTCATCCGTATTTTGTATGGTTTCAAGCTTGGTGGCCACAGAAAAGAAATGAAAAGGGGGAATGACCATTAAATGTGGCAACAAAAAGTAAAGCAAAAACGAAAATAAGCCAGCTCAGTGCTACTTTCTCCTTCTTCCCCAGAAGCAATGCTGCAGCTTAAGTACATCTATGTAGCTTTAAAAAGACAAAGGAAAAAAAAAAGGAAGATCGTTTTTTTTTTTTTTTTTTGGCAGTCTTGCCACTCTGACGCAACAAATAAGGAGCCAACAGAAATCCCACTGATAACCTGTGGGCTTCCCAACAAATACTGGGAGGCTAGTTGTGGTCTTAGCATCAACTGAACAGCTCCTTCCTTTCCCCCCACGTGTACTTTTTCCTATGACATGGGGCAGCGCAGTGGCCGTCGGCTGCATCTAAACTCTAAGAAGGCCATGTGCCTTTTTGTTCGTGTTTTCTTGTTGCCAATAAAGTCATGGGGAAGGGAGGGTGGAGAGTGGGTGCAGAGTATTTCTGCATGTGTCCCATTCTCTGCACATGACACCCTCATGGCTTTGATTATTGAAGCGATACAAATTAATTTTCAACTTTCAAACTTTCTCAATCTATTGTTCCTCCTCCATTTTCTAGGAGGTATTGTCATAAGTCTGATCTTCTGGCCTAGATACTGCTCTCTTTCCTCCATTGCATTCGCCTGGAAAAGGAACTGAGATCTTCTAATAGGCAATGTCTCACTTTCTATCTGGAAAACTAAGTGGATGGAAAGATAGCTGGATAAAATGGCTACCTGCCCCTTTGGAGAAGACCTCTGCCTCCACTCTTCCTTCCACCTTCTCTCTTCCACTCATTCCCCAGCCTGCTCCATTCTCTTCTTCCCCACCATTTCTCCAGCAAAAAATGAAAATGTTCAGGTCACAGCAAGGATGCCATGTTGGGGTTAGGAGGTATGGTCCCTTAGTCCCTTTTCAGCCCCTCAAAGGCTGGTCACCAGCTGCATTTGGCCATCTCCCTCCACTGCAGGGTTCTCTAAGCTTGCTGGGACCAAATACCCATCATTGCTGGGTCTCCGGACTTGGTAGTAGGCCTGGAGCTGGTTGCGCTGCACCAAGGCTGGCCGGTTGGTATAGTAGATCTCATTGATGGCTTGGGCATGAGGAAGCACTTCCCCAACTGCCTCAGGGCTGCTGTCCGGATACGGGGAGTCCCTCAGATTGGTCATACTGGTGTATAATGAGTCCCTGTTGGGCGAAGGAGCTTGGCCGTCACCCCCCTCTGTCAGGTCAGCTGTGCAGCTTTCTGACTCCTCCAGGTCGCTCTGGTAGAGGATGGACTGTGCCCTCTGAAGCAAGAGTGGCTCCTCTAAGGCCTTATACATAAGTTCAATTTCCATGTTCTCCTCATGTGTCAAGGAAGGGGCATCAGGCACAATGGCGTCATCCTCATTGTTGGTTCCCCCTCCCCCTGCTACTACATTGGGAGGGGGAGGAGGCCCAGGGGGGTTGGAGGTCTCAGTGGAACCCCCACCTCCCTTGACCGCACCACTGCCTCCCCCCCTCAAGTTGTTATGCACCAGCTCAGAGATGATCATTTTTTCAAAGGCCGCAGCATCACTCAGGTTTCGTCGACAATCAGCCATCTTGGTACCCTCGGCGGAGAAGTCACCACTGCGGAGGGAGTAGCTGTTATTGAAGTTGCCATTGAGCGGGAGGGTGTCCATGCCACAAGCGTCTCGGCTGTTGTTCAGGGGGTGCTCTGTAAGGGGCAGCACAGATAGGGGCATTAGTGGCAGAAAATAGGAAGGAGGCCCTGCGCACCTTCTGGGGGCAGTGGATGCAGTAACTCCAAGATGTACATTAAAAGGCAAGCTGTTCACTGGAAACATATGAAAGACATCTGAGCAGCATGAACTCATGAATGTTTAGGCACACAAGCGCTATGAACGTGTTTGGGCTGGGACAAAGGAGAATTGCCTGGGTGGGAATCATATGGGATGATTCCCAAAGCAATTGGCTTGTGTTCAGAGAAAGGAGGTAGCATCAAACTGACTCCACCTCTACCCCCTCCATAAAAAGGCAAAGAGAAGTGAATCTAAAACTGCTGCTGGAAAGATAATTTGCGCTGAACTGAATTGGCCAGCGCGTTTCAGGGGGGAAAGGGGGGCTTATTTCAGAGTTCTATACAGTCTCCTTTATTTCAACAAGACACTTTGAAGATTTGTTCTAACCATTTTTACAATCCGGTGGAAGAGAAAAGGAACCTTTTAAACCAAACCCACTCCTGTTAAAGAGGAGAAGGTGATGGAGAAGAAAACAGCCATATGGGAAATGCCAAATGGGTTTTTGCTGATTTGCTCTTGGCTGGAGAGCCTTCAGAGTAGGGTTTTCGGGCACAGATGCAACAGACACTAGCTCCCCAAAGGAAACAGGGCTGGTTAACCACATTTAGAAGTGTTCATCTAAGGAATTTATTCTCTTCCCTTTACCCCCCCAAGAAAACCTAGTCTAGAATATCAAGTTATATAACTGCACCACTGGGAAAGAATTGTTACGCTATACGCAATGTATAGTATAAGCTTTTGAGATAACATTAAATTATTAAAATAGGGCAGGGGTAGGCAACCTTGGCTCTTTTATAACTCGAGGACTTCAACTCCCAGAATTCCTGAGTCAGCCATGCTGAGGGGAAAGGGAGAGGTTTCCAAGCTGAGCCATGCTGGCTCAGGAATTCTGGGAGTTGAAGTCCACGAGTCATAAAAGAGCCAAAGTTGCTACCCCTGAGATAGGGAGTTGCTTTCACTAAGTAAAGGAGTCACTCCCTAAATAAGCAAGGCTCAAATATTTCCTGAAGTGTTCTAAGTGATGGCTGTATGTATGAAACAGCATCTTCCTTTTTCCCTTGTCTCGGCCTCCCTATTTCCACAAGATTTAAAAACAAGCATAGAGTCACTTTGATAATTTGATAATTAGACCCCAGCATTCTGAAACAAAGAACAAACATGTACAGCTGTTGTCACTGAGAAGGTGTATTTCCAATAATAATTTTGATTTTCTTTTTCATTGAGTCAGTATCTGCAATTCACTTCTCTTTTGGCTGCGGGCAAATTTTGACTGTGTGCAAATAGCTCAGGATTCAAGGGCCCGGGATTTAAAAATGCTTGTGTTGGAACAGCTGCATCTGTCAGCAATGCCCACTTACATATGTTAAATGGGTTTGTTAGGCGTAAGTGTGTCCGTGTGTAGAAAAGTGTAACTGCCCATTCGTTATAGGTGATGGAGAAGAAAACAGCCATATGGGAAATGCCTAATTTAGCCAAGCACAGCCACATGCATTATGCAGTATGGATGCCACCTCTTTGCCCACAAAGGAAAGATGCTGAAAGGCAACAGAGTAAAGCAGTGAAGCAGATACTTTAGAGGTAGGGAGCCCCAGCCAGATCACTGGGCCGACTGCTTTAATCCAGCATGACTGGGAGAGTGGCTAGGTTGGGTATTTCTCAGCTCTGTGGGTGCTACTTGCTCCATCTGGTGCCTACAGCTAGTACTGCGAAAACCATATGGCTTCCCCAAAGATAAAGAAATGGAAAAGTAAAGCCCGAAGAGTCCCTCCCAGAGCCAGCACTCCCTGCAGCCAACAGATAGGATGGCACACGCTTGCCCATGCCTGTTGCGCACCCACCCCAGCCTGCCAGTCAAACTAGCAATGAAGGAAACATTACTGCGAAATGGAACTGGAAAGGAGGGACGTACTGGACTCTCGGAAGCTCCCTGGAGGCAGCATCGATTAGGAGAGAAAAAGGGGAAAGAAAAGAAAAGGGAGTTACCCAGGTGGCCACAGCGTTTAGTCGAATATTAGCTATGATCCATAATCTTCATATCCCACTGGTCTGAGTTTGGTGGAAGAGCATGCGGTTTGCAGGGATAAAGTCTCAAATTCAACCTCTGCAGAGTTGAAAAGGTTGCGCCCCCCCAATGTGTACAATGTATGTCCTGTAGTCCGGATTTGTATAATGTCCCTTCTATTTACTAGGTGCATGGATGCAGAACCTTTTTTTCCAATTGCAAACTCAGAAATGAAAAAGAAGGATTCTCCTTCTAGATGGTGACCATCTTACCTGGAGAGTTGAAGACAGGGGGTGAGGCAGGGTTGAAGCCCACAGACTCAGCAATGAGTGTGTTGTAGGGACTGCTCCCGCCCCGTGTCTGCAGCACGGGGTTGGTCAACAGGTGGTTCCCCATTGTACCTGCAAAGAGAGTGCATGCACAAGTGTTAGGATTCTGCAGGACACAAAGGTCTGTATCTGGACAAGAAAAGGCTATGGTGGGCAGTGAAGAGTTGTGGACCTCCGGTCCGTGGACTGGCACTGGGCCACGGCATGCCAGCAACTGGGCCGCGCAAACAAGTGAAGCCCCATTCGAGGAATGCAGGCAGCACACAAAACCACGTGCCCTCTTTCTCCACAAAACCGATCCCTGGTGCCCAAAAGGTTGGGGGTCTCTGTTGTAGACGATAGGGAAGCTCTTTGGAGGAATGATCACTACAATGTAAGCTAGACTGGAGCTCTATCATTTTCTTGAGAGGACATCTGGAGATAGCTAAGAAAGAGAAGGCTACTTCAGAAGAAATTGATCCAAAGTATTAGGTCAGGAGTTGAAGAAGGGGCTTTGTGACTGCCCGCTTAGAACATGAGATCTTTTTATTCAGCAGTATAGATCTTCCTCCTCACTTGTACGGGTGAAGATTCTTATTCTGGTTTAAGACAGGTTCATTGGAAATGATGGATGGTGACCACTCACCTCGGTTAAGTGTCGGAGTGCTGTTGAGATCACCTGCCATGAAGCTGGACTCCGTCTGTTTCCTCACAGTATCATTCCACATTCTCCGGATTCGGCTCTGAAAAGACAACCCCATTCTGGATGTAACAGAGCTTTGTCTGTTTTCCCCATTCATCTTACATTCATGTCCTGGTCTTCTCAAAACCTTTAATCTGGCTAAATCCTCTAGATTTAACTAAATCGTCTGTTCAATGACTGATCTGCCCTAATCCTTGCCAGACTTTACCTGTGTCCCAGAGTAGTAACGGTTGTTGCTGCGGATAGCTGAAGTCTTGAGTGAGCCTAGTGTGGCACCTGGTTGGCTTCGGAGGCAACAGGATGCATGTCGCAGGCATTTGCTGAACTCCCGGTGCACCTAATGCGAAACAAGGGAAAGAGAAAAAAAAGGAAAGGGAGAAAATGCATTGTTCCATTCATCTTTCAGACATGTCATTCATTGTACTCTGCTTTAAGAGGGGTCTAATAGATAATGTATCGCACCTGGAACTTCCTTTGCTGCTACTTCTGTCTTTTTCACTCACCACATACGTACAAGCATTAACAAGAGAAGCACAGAATACTTACACAATATCCTTTCACTTGTGTGGATAAGAACACTTCCCAGTAACACAAGGGCTCTTCGTGCTGTTCAGTTATTTTAGCAACTATTCCTAGCTTTTCAGAAACAATCTTTACCATCATGCAAAACTAGAGATGGAACATTCGTTTACTTGCTTAGATAAGGAAAAATGTATAAACTAAAAAGGTGTCTCACTTTGTCAGGAATATTTTTTTTAAATAAAGAGCACTAATTACAAAAAAAAAAACAAAAAAACCCAGGTAACAAACACTGTCTGAAAAAAGTCAAATATACTTTTTCTCACAAATCACGATGAGTTGTGCATGATTTAATTCATCTAGGTTCAAAACTAGAAATTTTTATTCATATACAAAATCTATGCCAATCGGATATCTTAATCAGCTAATTATTAAGACTAGTATCTATATTCTACTAAAACTCTTGTAACTCTTAACTAAGCAAAACCGTGCAAAACTTTTTCAATCCTGGTACCTCAAATGGGCTAACTTAGGGAATGGGTCCAAAACCCAGGACACATGACTCCTGTGGAACTGGAATTTGGCAAGCTTTATAAAACATTGTATGACATAAAATTATTATAGAGCATTTTATGACATAATAACAAAATGTGATAAAACATTTCCCGTGATCAAACGTCTGGTGTTTGAATGTGCTGTACACTTCAACGTGGGCTACTTTCAAGGCATGCCAGCAACATTTCTGAATATGTCTCCTGAATTTTAAAGAACTGTTTAAGTACATTAGAAGCTCTTCCATTGTTAAAGACATTGAGGGCTCTGGTAGGGAAATATCTCTGAAACGATGACCCAACTGTCATAGGTTGTTTATAACTGAATGAAATTATTTCATCAGATAGCTCAATTCATAATGTAGATTCAAAGTATCCTACAGTCAGGGCTTTTTTTGTCATAGAATGCCCAGAACGGAGTTCCGGCACCTTTTTTGGATGGAACCTTGTAGGGTAGGCAAGGCGGGTTGTATGACGTGTGTGAGTTCCGGCACCATTTTATTTTTTTGCCTACAGTCCATGCTGGTTTTTTGCAAAAAAAAAAGCCCAGGCCTCTGACTAGGAAGCCCTGTTGCCTTTATAAAGCCCCTTGATCAGCATCTTGCAGCATCATCTTCATTGGTTTTCCTCAACCTCCCATTCTAACCTGTGTCATGTTCTTCAATACCAGAACTACCCACCTTTTTCTGCAGTGCACAATGAAAAACAAAGAAGAACATGCCCTGGAAAGCATTGAAGGTAGTGAAGAGGTAGGCCATGACAATAGATTCCTTGTTGATAAAGAGGAGGCCAAAGGCCCAGGTGAGGCCCAGGAGAAAAAGCAGAGTAATGGCTCCAAGCGCCCAAGACCTGTAGAAAGAGAGACTAGTAAATTCAAGATAGGCATTGATTCCCCTCACCTGGAATATTTGTTTATTTAATATCGTATTCATGTTAAATAGGGACGGGAAAGCTTATAACTATTTGTAGACCGGCTATATAAAGGGGAGGAGAATCCAGCTGGGGTGGATTCTATATGTTTGATGTTAAATTTATTCGATACTTGGGTCATTTTTTTTCTCTTTTTTTGTACACCAATCTCTTTTCTTTTTTGTTGTTGTTAGTGCTGGATGTAATTTTTTTGTTTTGTATTTTACTTTTGTGGATAAAACAAAATAAATATATTATTAAAAAAAGATGACATTGGGCTTCACTACTCAGATCTTGATAACATTGGGGCTTCACTACTCAGATCTTCCTCCTACCTTCAGAAAGTGGGTTCTTCAACTTTGTACACAGGGTAAGCTGCCTTGAGAAGGTGAAGGTGGTTTTTTTAAGGGATGGACTCAATGCTTGATGAGATGGAGCTACTGGTAGATCAGGGCTAGGCAACCTTGGCGCTTTTATGATTCGTGGACTTCAACTCCCAGAATTCCTGAGCCAGCCATGCTGGCTCAGGAATTCTGGGAGTTGAAGTCCACGAGTCATAAAAGCGCCAAGGTTGCCTAACCCTGGGCTAGATGGACCAGAATCTGCCTGTGCCGCACATTTTATGAAAAAATACACCAAAATGCTTATTTACACAACAAGCCACAAGGCGAGGGACTGGAAGGATCTTAAGTGAGATTTAAAGGTCACATAGCCTGAACAGCAGCCTAAGAAGACAGTGATTATAAAATCCAAGGTAAGGTAAAAATTGCAGGAACACATTATTACTTCTACAGGGGCAACTCACATTCCCAGGCCTTAAATGGCCCCGAAAGTACTGTCTTCTTCCTTGCTCTCTAAGAAAGAATTTATTAACTGTTCTTCATGGCTTTTCTCCCAAGGGTAAGTTTAGGAGCGAAGGAAGAGAAAGCATCTTTGACTGAACATCGGGGTTTGTTTTTCTGTATATATAATGAAGGGAAGAGTTCCTCTGTGATGTTTGCTGATGCCAGAGGGTGAACCAGAAAGAAATGGGTGAGAAGACATGAGATGAGAAAATAAAAAAAAAGAATCTCCTCCAGTTCTCAGATGCGGTTGTGTGTCAGATGTTGCTAGTCAAAAAACTGCTTAGTGGGCTCTGTTTTCTTACTCATCCTTATCAAATCATGCTGATGGTTATAAAGCTGCCTCTTTTACTTTTGCCCTCTGCTATTACCCTCTGCTTTTATTCATGCATTACAAATGAAATGGGGGGGGGGATATCATATCACATCCCCCATTCACAGTTCCTGCAGTTCTCTATCCTAAATTCAGTTTGGCAGTCATCTTGGCATTCTTTTTTCTCCTATCTCTCTCATACCTAGCAATAGTTATTTTAATCTTCTGGTGTTTTAAAGCATCAAAAGTACACCAAATTTAACACACAAACTTTTTTTTTGTAGTATAACTATGCTCCAGCTTAGGCCTTTGTAAGGTGGCTTCACACCAGAAAGCCTGAATAATTAGATATTCAGCTTTGTTTCTGAGCACACTTTCATACATTTATGCTCTTTTTAAAACTTTATTCTACTGGAACTGATATTATTGAAATTAGTAAGAAGAAAGTTCCAGAAACTCAGAAATGGAAGATACTTTCTTTAGATTGAAGAACATTCAATTTTCATTAAAACAATGGATTTTGCTACTCTTAGATTCCATAAACATGTTTGTTTTCAGTCAAGTTTTTTTTAATACAGGAAGTTGAATATTCCCCGTCATATAGCATCCACTCTATCCATGTATCCTACAAAGAAAGAACTTCCTCGGATAGGAATCGTGTAAGAAGACATGGCCTCATTCTTTTATATTCAGAATATTCTTCATATGATTGTTGTCTTCCCTTATTCTTCCCATTCCCAATAAGTTCTTATTTCCCAATAAGTTCTTTTCAAAAGGGATTTCTCACTAAAATATCCCTGATGTACAGAGTTGTTTCCCATTTCTGGGTTTTGCAGCAAAGAAAGTCCAAATCATTTTCTTAAGTCTCTACTTTTTATAGCAATGCTAATAACAGGCACAGGATATTGCCACATAGTGGGAGAGTCTAACATGATTGCTTTGGGGGTGGGGAAAGCCTTGGTCACCTGTTATGAGCTACTCTTAGAATCCAAAGTATCTTCAAAGAAGTGGCCCCTAGTTTTAATTATATTTTTATATTATTATTAGCCTCAATCCCAGAATCATACATGGCTTGAATCAACCTTAAATCATTTTGATTCTCAGGTCACACACATAGTACCTTCAACAAGAAAGACTTCTCATGTGTGTGTGTGTATGTATGTGTGTATATATATATATATATGTATGTATGTATGTATGTATGTATGTATGTATGTATGTGTGTATATATATAGGTCTTTGGTTATTCGGGTTTTCTCCTGCGTAAAATTGGAAGTGTCTTGGCGACGTTTCGACGAAGTCTCATTCATCATCTTCAGGCTGGTGTTTCCGGCTTCGTGCTTCTAGGAGCAATGTGTGATCATAGCTGTTTCTTCCTTTTAACTGCCAGTGGGGGTATGAGCTGATTGGATGAGAGCTTGGCTGTGTTCTGATTGGATAGAGATGTGTTCTGATTGGTTAGGAGCTTGGCTGTGCTCTGATCCGATGGGGGGGGTTGGCTGTGCTCTGATTGGATGGGGGGTTGGCTGTGCTCTGATTGGGGGAGTGTTCTCCTTGGGTGGGGGCTTTGTTGTGCTCAGGTTAGTCTGAGTTGCATGGGGATGTGAGATGGTGAGCTGCATTGCTATTGTTTGGCTTCGCGTTCGTGGTCGTGCCTCATCTTCATGGTGGGTGTCAGTTTGCTTCATGTATGAATTGGAGGGGTTTAAAGTGGCTAATGATGCAGCTGTGGTCTGGCTTCTGGTTTGTGATTGTGCCTCATCATTGGTGTGGCTTTGGGTTTGCAAACACATACAAACACCCGCGAAAACCTCAGAAAACATACATACATACATACATACATACATACATATTTAAGCACAACATAAGTGCTCCCCCCCTGTTGTGTGACATATGAAAGATAGAATGTACATGAATTCTCTCTCATTGACTTGATATTTACACCAGCAGTCCATTAATGTTGAATGCATGTTCTATTAATTGGGTGTTTGGAACAATAGAGGATTTCTGTTGTTATACCACTTTCCTTACAATATTCTTTTTTCCTGGGCTGGCTCAGCAATTTGGGATATAGCATTTATATAGTTTCATTTTGGATTAGCTCAGGATTTGATCCTGTCTGCCATGCAGCCATGGAGAGTATCAATTAGTATCATACATGCAGATGTACTATTCTGCTCAGATGGTAAATAAGTGACTGGAGGGTAGAGAAGCACTATATAAATTTCACTGTCATAGACAGATCATTATATGGTTACCAGGCTAGCCATCAGCACAGGTTATGGACTAGTCAAAAAGGCCTGCCCCTAGTGTCTAATGCAGGGTGTCAAACTGCTGGCCAGTGGGCCGGATGCATCATAGCAAAACCGCAGCCAATCCATTGCCAGCAATGGCAAAAAAAGTCACGATACGTCGCAACATGTTATGTGACGTTGTGAGTTTGACCCCCCTAATTTAATGGATTTGATTTACTGAATCCACTTGGGGATTTTTCTATTCCGGCTGATCAGTGGAACACAAAAACAGCATGGACAATACATAAGACGGTCCCCATCAGATTTGACAGGAAGCTAAAACATATGAAACAAAAGGCATGACAGCTTTTTGAGAACAGCTGGAATAAATCTTGGGATCAGTCAGGACATCAAAGGTTCAAGTTGATTAAGAACATTATTCCATGGCAGCAAAGACAGCAACAATTACCTATTTTCCACTGCATCTGCTTTTCTATCTCCTCCCCCAAGATGCTGGGAGTGCGGGATGAGAAGCTGGAAGACTTTATGCCTCACTCTAAATAGTTGATACTATTGTTTTGCAAAGGAAGCATCAATAGACACATTTTGATTTGGACTCCATTGTCAGAGCAGGTATGATGTTGTCTCTTTGGGAACTACTTTATTTTATTGTTTAATATGCTCAGCTTGTGGATACTGAAGATCTGAACAGACTGTATGAAGAAAGGAGCCCATACCACTTCCACCATATGTCCCTCTAGAATGAGCCAATAAATACCTATGAGACTGTTACAAGACTTATTTCTGAGCAAATATAGGGCACAAATATCCTTCTTTCTTTTACAGACATTCATGTATTCCCTCTGCGAATGCTATGTATTTTTCTTCTTTTTATGTCCTTTTTTATCCACATTTAATGTCTGTTTGTATATTGTTTATTGATGTATTATTATATTTTTGTTTTGTTATTTGTATACTATTTTGGGATGATTATACGAGAAATATATTTGAATGATTGTATACGTGAATAGCCATTACAATTAATTCTTTTGCTTTTCTGAATAAAGACAAATATCAGGAATTGTCAATTTGTATGAAATATTTAAAACCCCCAAACAACATATTGACACATTGAGCTGAACTAGAATCCAAAATAAACATAGCTGCAAAATCATACCAACAGTGAATACATGCTTTGCAACTAGACAAATTGGAAAAACAGAAGAAAAAATCAGCATGAAAGAACTGAACTGTTTTCTGAAAATAATAGTTGCACTCTTTTGATAACAGTATTAGGAAAGAGAAAGTACTATGTCAATTCCATCTATAATCCAAGGTGGAAACCTTCCATCTATTGCTAACTACAGATTCCAGCATCTCTTCCTAGCTAATGTACTAGAGTTTCCATTTAATTAATACCTGCAGAGCTAAAGTTCCCCACTACTAAATTCCAGGTTTACAGGATTCTTAAATCATGTGCACATCAGGGCCATACTATATAAACTAGGTTTATTGGATGCCTTCTGTTCAGTTTTCATGCATTGCCTGACTGAAAATAGAGGGAACCCAAACACTGATTTTAATCATGATAGTTAGAGGGCATTCTGGGAGCTGCTAAAGAGGGTATTCAGGGATTTTATTCGGCTTCATTCTTGGAACTCCTAGGGATTATCAGTCTCTCGTGGAAGCGTTTGTTCACTCTTGCTCTAGCTACACTTAAGCATGGTTCTGAGCCACTTGAGTTAGATTGATGAAGGTTAATGAACTCTGCATTTCTCAAGTTTGGTTGATGTTAAAATGGAACTATTTGTCTTAACTTAGCAACAAGCAAAGTATGTTCTGCCCACCAACTATAATTGGCTGGATTAATCTATTATGAAAACGAGGATAAGAAGGTGTGAACTTGTGAATAACACATGTGTTTTGACAGTTTGTCATTTGTAAACTATTTGCTGCAAAAAATCTTTCCCAATTTTCTTAATGAGGTATGCTTTTCACTTCATTTGCTGTTGAATAAAACAACTCTATTTCTCTAGGACAGTGTTTCCCAAACTTGACAATTTTAAGGCACGAGGACTTCAACTCCCAGAATTCCACAGCCAGCAAAGCTGGCTGTGGAATTCTGGGAGTTGAAGTCCACATGCCTTAAAATTGTCAAGTTTGGGAAACACTGCTCTAGGAGAATGGGAATCCCTTTTACAGAGGTATGCAAGGTTGTGCTTTTTGAAAAGGACGGAATGACTTCAAGAAATCTTTGCAGGGTGTTGTTTTGTAAAAACATCAGCTGTCCAAAGGCCTTGGCTAGACAAATGCTTCAAGGAATCATCCTGTTTCTGAGCCACCTCCAAAGTTCAGTATGCCGAAAGGACCATTTCAACTCTTCAAACCCCTTTCTCTGGAACTAAGGTTTTCATTCCCAGCTGTGAGTTGGTAATGAGATATTGCTGGACTCACTGTTGAGGGCTTTCTGTCCTATTGTCTTGAGAAATGTCTTACATTTAAAGAGATATAGAGATGCCTACTTTGTCTGGGCTGGACATGTTTTGTTCCAGTGTCCTACGTTTGTTCAGATGACAACAGAATTAAGCTATTAAGATAAGGAGGCATTTCAACCTACATCAGAAGATCAAAAGGAATCAAAAGAGAAACTTACTTGATATTATCCAGTCGGCTGGAGTCAGGCTTGAGGACAGATGTGTTGCGGATCATCTTGTGCAGAGTGATCATGAGGAACACAAGGTTGATCTGGAAGATATGTACAGATGGGTGAACAAACGAACGAATGAAGGGATGTGTGTGATGGGAATTCTTTGCCTTACAGTTCCCCCAGTTAGAAACCTTTTTCTGTCCCATTCTGAGATTGGCAATGAATTCCCACTGTATTTTTTGGAATCAGATGTGCATTACAGCACATATTCCGAGCTTTGGGAAGAAAAAGGATATCTAATGGATTGGGAAGTGTTGGAATAAGGACTTCAGTACTCTACCCAGGTTTAGTTTGAAGTCTTCGATTATAAGACTGAGAGAAAAATCCAATCTCAACTACGCCAAACAATCCTTCAATGACTCACCCCAATAACAAAAGAAACGGGTCCAATGAAACTCCAGATGAAATAGTTATCAACTCGAAGCCAACAACTGCCAAAAGAGAGCAAGACATGTTTAAACAGAGACTCAAAAGAACAGTGGACATCCCACACTTTCACTACTGCATACAGTAGTTTGACTGGCATGCAATGATAATTTCATCAAAACTTGCTTGGAAACCTAGATTAATTCCTTGTTCATCCAACTACTTTGGTCTTCTAGCATACCTTTCTTTTTGCTATCCCTTGCCTTATCTCTAAATTTTTACTTCTTCTTTCAATTAAAATCTAGTATTTCTACCACATCTCAAAGGATAATGTATTTATCCTTTTCCTTAAATTTACACGTTGGATCTGTGATTAAAAACAGAACATCATTCTTGTTCATCCTCCACCAACTGTGGCCCCTCTACTTACGCCTTTTCAGTGCCATAGCTGCGGTAGTCAATGGCGGCAGCAATTCCCACTACCAGGGCAGGAAAACAATAGCCACCTAGATAGTAGTATTTCCTGCGGGAATACTCGCTTTCAAACACTTCAACCAGCATGAGGTAAAGGTGAATGGCCTCCAGGCACATCCAGGAGAATGCTGCCAGGAAAAAGTAGTGAAGCAGCCCAGCAAAGATGGGGCAGGCAATCTGGGGTTGAAGGGAAAAGAATACCAGTTAGCATGGATTTCTGTGTATCTTTGGGAGGGGAGGGGGAATATAAAGATTTATTTAAAATCTCTACATCGTGCTTCCAGTTATGCAACGTGCAGTTTATATGTTGTTGATATTAGAAAAAGAGAAGGCTGTCTTCATCTCTATAAATCACTCTGTGCACCAATTGCTGCTCTTTAAAGACTGTCCAGATTCCAAACTACAGCTTCCATTAGCATAGCCAGCCTGGGTAATGGTGAACAGTAAGGTAACAATATACACAAGGCCATAAACTGTTTCCGTTTGTTGTGTACATTGGCTCCCTGCAATAATATTCTTTCATTAAGTCACCCTACTTCCACTCATCATGTGCCCTGGGACAGGGGTCCCCAACCCCCGGTCCGTGGACTGGCACCGGTCCACAGCATGCCAGAAACCAGTCCGTGCAAACCAGCGAAGCCCCATCTGCAGGGTGCAGGCAGCACACAAAACCATGCCCCCTCCAGTCCATCAAAAAAACCTCTCTCCAAGGAACCGGTCCCTGGTGCCCAAAAGGTTGGGGACCTCTGCCTTAGGACTTCTTTAGGGGCAACTGAATCATCTGCAGCTTTTGGTTGCTTGCATCGCAGTGCTGAATTGAATTTAGTGTTTGCTTCCCCAGTCTTAAATATTTCTCCTGTCACTTATAACACAGAGGTTCTTCTCTGAATGTTGATAGGCTGAGATTATACTATTACAAATGCTCTTGAATTCCTAGAAGGATCTATTAATCTCTTCCTCCCTGTTCCCTCTCTTTGCCAACTAATGAGAGTAAGCTGCTCAAGTTTTAAATCTTTTTTTAAAATCTTTTTCTGGTGGACACATAGCCTAGAAAGACAGGCAGATGTTTCCCCTACATCCAAACCCTCATAAATGGGTTCTATTCCTGCTATGGTTATCATCATCACCACTACACAATCACAATCAATGCCATAATCTTAAGACAATGCTGTTGCACTGAGAAGGGGCAGCAGATAACCTTCCTCCATAAAGGGAAGATGTTTCAGAGAGAAAATAGAATTTTACTTCCAAGCTAAGTAACTCTTATTTTCATATATATTTTTTATTGAAGCTTTTAAACAAGACGATAAAAACTAATATAAACTAGTACAAAGTAAGGAAGAAAAAAGCAAAAGCAAAGAAAAAACAAAAAAGGCCAAGAAAAGAAAAAATGATGAAGAAAACTAGAAGAAAAAAATAAGATATAAAGTAGCTTCTTCACATCTCTCTGCAAAGTTATATTGTATTATTCTTTCGGTAATCTATCCTACGATAACCTCTCACTTTTGTGAATTCTACAAATAAATATTTGAAAATGTGTTATCTGAAAATCTTTTTGCAGTCTAATATTTCTTTAGCAATACACAGAGATCAGTGAGATTTTCAGTGGAATAACAGTCCAAGGGACGTATGCAGGCACACACACACACTTACACTATTTTCTGAATCGAAAAGGCTTATCAATGTCACCCAGAATTTGGCAAACCAAATGAAACCTAGTGAGAGCCCCATCCTAGCCTATTCTACCTCATGCCCCCAATGTGCCTCGCAGATCCCACAATGCAGAGGAACAATCCATGGTGGCTTTGCATATAATAGGAAAGGAAAACCATCACATACCTCATATTGTGTCTTGTCAATTCCAATAAGAAAAAGGAGCTCAGTCATGAAGAGATTGATGCAGAGGTTCTTGTGGATGGTGTTGCGGTCAGTTTGCAACCCACGGAGGAAACAAAAGGTGGATATGCAAATGGCCAAGCAGACCAGAGAAATCACAATGCCCACCCATGTGATGACAGACAGCAAAAGTTCATTGATGCGGCCCTGATACTGAAAAGAAAAAAAGGAAGAAGTCTGGTGAGTGTGGTGCCCTTGTCCCCTTAGCCACATGCTAAATTTTATACTGAACTTAGTAATTAGAACAATGGTCTCCACTATTGGGTAGCCATGGTGTGCTTTGGTCATTTTCTAAATACTGCGAAGCCATTTCACTTTTATTGACATCATAGACCGACCATTTTCTTAACATTTGAAGAGTAACAGCTCCCCTGATTTTACATATGACCCATACAACAAGATAAAGATTCAGCATGCATTAAGAGTTAAAAGGATGGCCCCAATGACTGGAAACCATTTCCCTCCACCTAACATATTTTGTCATATTTTATCCCACCCTTCTTTTGGCGAGTGATATGCTTACAATTTCGCGGTGTGCCATGAGGACAGCAAAATTGGTGAGATGACTGCAAGCACAGGTGGTGTGGGTCTTGTTGGTCTCCATCAGCCGGCAGCCCTGTGTGGACCAGTATCCCATCATGGAACGCTCCGAATAGTTCCAGAAAGAGCAATTGGCATTGAAGTGATTCTTGTCCTATGTGGAAACAGAAATGGGTCTGGGTGTCATCAATAAAAATAAAGATGGGGGGGGGGGAAGGGCACTTCCTGAATATAGATAGTTCATTATACCGGAAAAAAAAGTATGACTTGGTTAAAAGTGAATTTATACATGCTCAAAACATTAGCAGTGAAGCCTTTACAAAGTGTAAGTTTGCCACTGTTGTAGTTTAGTGTAGATTACAAGGCACAGATACCAGGGCATGGGATTTATTGAAATGTGCAAAGACAAGGAAACAGATAGAACGATCCCAGGAATCATGCTTATCTCACCTCCAGGTGGGAAAGAGTAAAGATGACAGGGTCCATAAGGAAGACACGACTAGATTCCTTGTTGATGGAGGCAGCGATAACTTGTGAATTGACAACAAGTGAGGGGCTAAGTGGACCAACTTCACTTCCAAGCTTGATTGTGGCATTCTCAGTAGAAAGGAAAAATCCCAAATTATTGTAGAGGATGAAAACAACTTTGACCACCCCTATGGAACAAAGGGAAAGGAGATCAGTCCCATAGCCTGGGGTGTAATAGACAGGATCAATTATTGCTAGAAAGGGAGGAAAAGAGGTAATTGCATGATGATGGTTTCCAAAATGTTCCAGGAAGATGTTTATCAAGGTCCTCCCCAAATCTGGAATTCCTTCTCTTGCTCACCATTACGACTGTTTTGCTTGATTGTGTTGGCTGATAGCTGGATTGAGTTTCTGGTGGGAAACTCATATGGGAACACAATATCAGGCACTTGTCCATCTGTATTTAACACAGAGACCTCCAACACTACAATGGGAGAGAAGAATGGAATAGGTTAACCCAAAAATACAGATCAAACAATAAGAAGCTGTAGTAATTATTCTTCTTTGAAAATTTGGTATCTAAAAATTTGCATGTTTCTGAATAGATACCGAATGTTATCTTCATGTTTCTCCATGTTTAGACTACCAGAACAGAAATGGGGTGATTTGGTTTCAATCTCTCTTTTGTCTTGCTAAGTTTATACTACGTTCTTTAAAAATACTTGGTAGATGTTAAATTATCCTATCTATTTTGCTTCCCTTAATACTATATTTTGTTATAATCAGTTTTGCTACAATCAAATTGCAAGAGTTAAACTATGTGCTAAATGCAAGAATCATGTCTAGGCAACTGTACCATTTCCGCTTATCCTGATCTGTTTTCCACTCCATTGTGGATGGTTGTTTTCATTTTGTATCTAAAGAGCTGGAGCCATTTTACAATTTTATTGCTTGCTCTATTGCTCTGAGGTCACTTAATCCAAGCAGCAGTGACACACCAGAGAAACCTGGCAGGAGGCTAGGGTTCTACATTTATTATTCAAGAGCTATGACTTCAGTCTGGCACTAGACACAAAAGGTAAGCTTCTCCAGGTTGCCTAGGCAAGTTATTAATTTATAGTTATGCAGAACACTATTGTGAGATTTTTTTGCACACAAGGAAAATGGTTTGCAAAACTGACTGGATTTTCTGATTTTATTTATTTATTTATTTGGTCTAGCTAGCATCACATAATATGTCATTTCTGTGTAATGAAATGGCTTGGACTGCATTGCTTAAAAAGTTGGCAATAGCTTAAGAATGGATTTGACCTCAAGAACAGACAACTACTGCCTGAGATATAAGAGGGTACCTACATTTTCAACCAGGCAGGATATGGCCAAGAAACTGGATGGGAAATTTCTAAATTCTACATCTCCTAACCCTACTCTTCTTTCTATTCTCCGGTTTAATATCCTATTCTTTTCTACGTGTTTTAACACCATCGGCTGCACTTGTACTTTCTGCCTAGAAAAAAAAACATTTTAATGTGGCATCTAATACGTAACCATGTTTGGTATGATTCTGCCCATGGCAGCACCATCTTGTTCAAGAGATAAATCCAAACACCCTTTAAAGTAGCAGCCTGGGAAGTTGTGAGTCTACTTCTAGATCACTGTAGAACATGACAGACACGTAAAGAGAACTCATCATACCTTATGCATTATGGATGTTAGTTCTACAGAACAAAGCAATGTGAAAAGCATTTTATAAATTTCTGTGTTATAATAATCTTATATTATTATTTTATCATTGCAATAACTTTGTAATGCTTTAACTCAGGGGTGTCAAACTCAATTTCATTGAGGGCCGCATCAGCATTGCAGTTGCCCTCAGGGGGCCATATGGGTGTGGCCAGGGTGGGTATAGCCTACTAGGTGGGTGTAGATGGAGTGGGTGTGGCCTACAGGGTGGATGTAGCCAGCTCTACATCGTTCGTGTCAAGGATGCCTGTGGGGGCCTGGGCAGGAGTGGGATAGACCTGAGGGTCTCTGGCAGAAGGGAGTGGGACTGGGGCAAGTGCCACGGCATGGTCCACTGGAGGAGCCTCACTGTTCCTCTCACCCCATGTGGGGGGGGGCTTATGGAGCTAAGACTGAATGCGTTTCAGCATAGATGGCCACCACAAAATTATACATTGGCTCCCGGTTGGCCTGGGCCAGGGCCAAGGCAGAGGGGGCCGTTCCCTCACTGTTTCCAGGATGGCTTCACGGGCCACATGAAACCACTTTATGGGCCGCATCCAGCCCCCGGACCTTGTGTTTGACATGTCTGCTTTAATTGAATGATGAAAAGATATCCTAAAGCTCACTTAAGTGAGATAATAGTAACATGCTATCATCCTACCCAGGGCTGTGCCAAGCAGATTCAGTCTTGTGCCTGACCAGTGAAAACCTTTCTCTTGTTTTTACCCCACAGACCTATTTGTACCAGGCTCCTGAAGTAAGGAAGTGGGGAATGCTACAGATATTCTTTCCTTATATATATATATATAAAATGAAGAATAAATGAAATTAATGCTGCTTCCACATAAGAAACCTGTTTCTCTAATGTGTTATGCAATGGAAATACAAATCACATTTCTATGGGTGCGACGGAGAAATAAGGACACCGCCAGGAGGTATAACTCAAGAGCCTTTAAAAAGTAAATAGCACCTTCTTCTTTTTTGACAGCCCACATTTGATAAAGGCTCCCTCCTCCCTAGGTTTACAAAGCACAGGCACTGTGTACAATAATGTTCAGTACACACATTTTGAAGAAAGAATGGTTGGCTGCTTTAGAATTGCTCCAGAAAGGCATATGTCTGCTGCACCCACACACTCTGTGAAGTTCCCTTCTTCCCAATTGACTTCTTCAAGATAAAGCAGACAGACTGATGCCTACCAACATTATTCTTAGCAGTGACAAAACGGGCTGGTTCTTTGACATTGTCAGCCAGAAGGAAAGCTCCCTCTTCCAAGATATCAAGCAGCATGGTGGCAGTGTGCACTTGCTCTGTGGCATTCATGTCCTTCCACGATTCCAGTGCCTCTGGACGCAGGAGGTTGTCCACCGTCTCCACCACAGCCTAGAATGACATTGAGTTTTGAGGAAATGGATCCACTTCTCATAGTCCGTTCCCTTCCAACAGTTCTTCTGCTCTCGCACTTTCCTTTTCTCCTCTTTGCCATTGAGCAAAGATGGCTACAGATCCATTCTTCATGCTACCGCTTACATTTGACAGACAAAAGATACATATATTATTAATCTTTATCCATAACACCCTGGGTGTTATGCATTTTTTTAACCCTCAAAACCTGGAGGTTCTGAGATTGTCATTTTGCTATTGCTAGTTAGGTGCATCTCCTGAGTAGAATGGGCCACTTCAAAGATGTTACCATTTATGGACGTACTGTAGTAACTGTGTATTCTCTCTCTTCTCCTCCCCTCCATTTTCTTACCTAACCTGCTTATTTTCATTGGATCAAAATTCTTGTATGGATGGAAGCAGCTTTTCAATTTCTGAAATGCTAATTCTGTACTCAAGGTACATTATTTTCCAGAAAATCCACAACTAGAAAACAATTCTTCACCTCAGGAACTACAGGCATTGCTTATCATTACTTTGAATATTATAAAGTGGGCAAGTACTTTCTACAAGCAACTATAAGATACAATTACTTTGCTTGCAGGGTGAGAAGTAGCATAGCTCCCATGTTTAAATATTTATTTAATTTATCAGTTTTTGAAAAGTCATTTCTCCTTTATTTTTAAATGACTTTTCCCTCTCAGGATGTATCCTCCAGATTTCTTGGAAGTTCAGCTATCATCTTTTATTTATTTAGTCTAGGGATTGAAGTTCAACACAATGGGATGATGCCAAGCTGAGAAGTTTGACTTAGAATTTCTTTTGTATCACTCAGTTCAAGAGCATGCATTTATTATCCTATTCCAAATAAATGATCCGCAATCTTTTATTTATTATTTTTTTAAAAGCCCCATCAAACTTTATATTATATTAAATCAGCCACACTGGCATAGTTTTAAAGTAGTATGTATGTATTGTAGCAGTAGTATGTATTGTTTCCAATGTTAAGGTTTTTACATATGGCTATCTCATGTGAGATGCTTTGTGGATATCCATATCAGTTGTATAGCCAGAACAATTTAAATGAGGACCATTGTTATACAAAGTACTTTTCCTGTGTAATTCATGTAATTAAGTGAAATTCATCTAAGATTGGACAAGACCAAAGAACAAAAATATTTTTGGTAGCAAAGAATATCCTTTCTTCCCCAAAAGATTCTCTTGTCTGTTTCCTTATAATTTCCACAGGTTGCTAAACATTTTCATATATACTACTAGAAAAGTTATACAATATGAGTATATCAGATGTGGGATATATATATTTTAATAAATATCAACAAACAACTTTTTAATGCTGCTCTAAATTCAGGGTACTTCTAAATGAAACACTTTCTTTGATGTAGAAACATGCAGGTCTCTGAGAAATGTCAGCATTCCCTGAGAACCGCAGATGTTTGATAGGTTACTTCTTGCCCATAGCTATTCCTACCTGAATTTAGAACATTGATGCCCTCACCTTGATATAGTCTTTGCAGGTCCTTTCTCTCTTATGCATCTGTAGAGTACAGCATACAAGCCCAGTGTCAATGATGGTCCATATACCAAAACAAGGAGAAAATAATTAGAATTCCCCAGAGGCCTCACTCTACCCCAATACATTTTATCTATGGGTTTCCTTGAAATGGGTTGTTCCGGTCATAGAGTCACCAGATACCAGGCAGCAGGTAATAAAAAAAGAAATATCCTAAATGACAATGTGAATCCAATTTTAAGTTTTAATTTACTGGTTGTTATTCAAAGAGACAAGTTGAATTTGACAATTTTTTAATTGTATCCATTTTTTTACCTTTTTTATTTCCTCACATTGTACCTTTGATCAAATTCTTAAGTTTTTTTATTTATGCTTTCCGGTCTGAATTCAAAATTATCACCAGAATTGTCAAGTTGTAATCCTAGACACTTACATAGGATTAGGTCATATTAACTCAATAACACATTAGCTATTCTTCGAAGGTATTCACATGACTGATCATTATTTCAACATTCTGCACTGTTATCAGCAGAGCTAATACAGAATCCTATAGGAAAACCAATAAAACATGACCAGAGACTGTATATAGCAGCAGCATCTGGTAGACTGTACCACAGAATTAGCCATCTAAAGATATTTCTTCATAACTACTCTCATATCAAAGCTAATAATCAAGAGGCATGGAAAACTAAATTGCTAAGTGTTTATTGTAAGGCAAAAAGAAAAAAAAAGGCATGCAGATGTGTAACATGTATTTGTCCAACCACTGGATGTTTAGGCTGCTAAAAGGTTTATGCCAAATTGCTATTCTGTTTCAGCGGTCCAGAAAAGTGAAATATAAGGTCAGGACACACAACCTGCTGAGAACCACCTCCCAGTTAACATATCACCATGCACCTTGTTGTAGTTTTTGCCAGCTGACTCCCTCTCTATTGGACGCAGTGCCTGCAGTTGAGCATCCAAGATATCTAAGAGCTGCTCCATTAATTTGACAGAGGAACTAACATCTCCAGCGTAGATGGCGCCACGCGTATGTCGGGCAAGCTCGGTAGCAATGTTGGCTGCATTCTCTCCACTCTTGATCTGTCAAGAGGAAAGAAATTCAAACTAGCCTCAATCCAGCAAAAGAGTTATGCAGGCATGAAGAAGCCTGATACCCATTGTGAAGATGAACCGTCTGATTAACAACCAGAGGGCAGGGAGAACTTCTGGGAAGAAAACGATACCTTCTGGGCCACCTGGTTGACCCAAGGACTTGTGCAGTTGCTGAGATCAGGCCCACGTGGGTTCCAAATACCAAGGGTAGCAAGGCATTGGAAAGAAGCAATACCTGTGGGTGGGACAGCAAGAAAGACTTGTTAATCAATTTCAGCTGTTGTGGTTTCAGCCTATCATTCCTATCTGTTCCCACTACAAAAACAACCCCTTGTTAAAGGTCTCTGAAGAAGCATTATTAAGTTTGTCGAGAGCTGGCTTCCCAGGTAGATTCTTCACTTGCCCTTAATTACCCTACAAATATGCTCCAGCAGCATCTTTATCCAGCCACATCGTCATATTGCTGTTTTTGTCACATCCCAAGCTCACAATTGAGAGCTACACCAGTAGCTCAATGGTGTCCAAAGACAGCCTGAAGGTGTATGAAGACTGAAATCAGGTAGTTGCGATAGAAAGGCAAGTTGAGAAACAGGAACCAGGCTAGCAGATTTCATTCCAGTACAGGTTTTTGCCACTTCAAGGCTAGCGCTACAACTTCTAGTGTTGGCTAATGGAAGAATTACACCCTGCCTGAACCCCAGCTTCTTTCATTTGGATCTGGTAAGCATCCAAAGGCATTCACCTCTTCAATAAAGACCAGAACAATTTGCCTAAGGCTACCCCTGGTGAAGCTACTTATTTTTACCTCTCGTGCCCTTTGGGCAAGGCCTTTCCACCAGCATGCCCTGTTGTGTGGCTGGCCACTGGACACGCCTCACCTCCTTTGCCTCACAGAAGAGCTCTGGAAAGATGTGCTGGTTGTTTGCTGGTGGACGGCGAGTACTGGGCATTACGGCAGTGACTGTGTGCAGTTCTGTACCCTTCTGATTTATGGCACCTATAGGGTGGGTTGTAAGGGGTGGCTGCCGAGTGGTTGTAACAGCAGGTGATATTGTGCTGGTTACAGTGGTGGGATGAATAGTGGTTGTCGTGCTGAGGGGTGTTGAGGTGACTGGGCCTGCGGGCAGAAAGCAAGTTGGGGACAAGCAATCCTTTCCATACACAAAATATCCCTCCCTTCCCATTCAGGTCTTCAGTTGTAAAATTTTAATTTTTAAAAATGCCTATGCTTATTACAACTCCACTTTCAGTGATGTTGCTTTGCATTGATCCAATCTTATGATACATCTTGATTTGCAGTGGATCCCTAAAATTTTCAGCAGAGACTCTTTTCGTGACCCGTATTGTTATTTCAGTTCCTTTACCCTAAAAATATCAAGAGCTATACTTAAAACTTTGCACATGTAAAACATATGTTCCCTTGCAGTTCTCACCACAGTATTATTTATTTTAGCCAGAAAATCTCACTGAATGGAATCATCATTTAATCGTGATCACATTTGTAACAAAAGATGCAGTTCTCCAGGTTATAGAGTCCCAGATTTTCTTTAGTATCACAAATTCTAGTTGCCATGGTTGCAAAAATATTTTTTTTAAAAAAGGGGAGATAGTGATTACTAAATGTCCAAATGCAGAATATTCTGAAAAGGAGCTAATGATACCAAAAGAATTATATGTATTCTTTCCTCCTCTCTATTGATTCCAGCCCAAATTTTCTGACCCTTGTTTTACTGCTGGCAAATATTCCATGAGGCTTGGTATGCAGTATATTCCTTTATATATCAGTGTGTCTGGATCTTCCCTGTGTAGATTATATAAATTGCAAAAACTCATCAAATTTCCAAGGTATATTATTTTTTGATTTCAGTATATCTAAGATGGTTAATCTGGACCAGCTTCCTCATATTCCCTTAGCCCACATACCATTTATGATAACTTCTGTCAAATCTTTCTTAGGAATATGAAATACAAACCATGTCTTCACACTGAAATTCTTTTTAATTTTAAAATAAAACTGTAGCATTCAGTGCTAATTTAAGTAATTTAAGTAATGACCCATCCCATCTAAAAATATGCGTGACTCCTTCAGATATAACTGATTCATTATTCTCACTAAGGCTAAATCCCATTCATCCAGCCACAGCATGGGGATGTTAACTGTGGAAATGCTCAGTTTCAAATGCCATTCAGACAGAAGCTGTGCAACTGGGATGAATGGAGTATGTATGAAAAACAAATTAGTGGCATATTGGAATAAACAGATCTGAATCTGGCCCTATACCAGAGCATGACTAATCTTGAACCTCTTTTATTCAAAACAAGACTGAATTTTTCTCCTTCTGCCCAGCTTTGAGGAATTAGTTGTGTAGCCTCTAGGCTTCTGCCAAATACTGAACATCAGACAATCCATCTCTCAATTTAAACTCCATGTGATGTTAACTGTCAGAACTTCAGGCGGATGCTGACTCTGTTGGGATCACAGTGAGTTTGAATTGAGGTGAATAAACTTTCCAATACTTACTATTTGACTGGAGCCTGAAGAACTGCTTGCAGCAAGTAGCACAATTAAAAATATTTTAGAAGTCAGTGCAAAAATTTAAGCCTTTCTTTTAAAAGTGATATTGCTAATACATACTTGAAAGTTTATTGAAATATGATTATTGTCCCTCATATCAAATAGTAGAAGCTGAGTTGCCTCAAAAACTTGCAATCACTTGTAGAATATGCAAAATATATGTTTGTTTTATTTAATTTAGCTCAAGTAAAGAAATAGCCATCAAAAGATATTTAGCTGAAGTCAAAAGATAGCAAGCCTAATTCATATGCAACTGGGGACTGGTGATATATAAGTTTTAAAGTAAAGCATCTTCTGGAACCTGGTGCTCTCCAGATGTGTTAGCCTACAAATCCCAGAATTTTCAGTCAAAATCCACATAGTAATTCTAGTGCTCCAACCCAGCTGGAGCACATTGATTTAAAGAAAGTTGGTATAAAATGTATATTCAAGAATCTATTTTTAAAAGATAATTTCATAAGATCTACGTGCCAAATTGTATAATTAGGAAATTCATATCTATGCAAGTTGACTCATTCTTTTTGTCTCCAGGTATTTTTATCAATACTATAAAAATTGGAACAGAAATCCCCATAGTTTCCAAACACCGACAGCTCCTTTTTTAACCCACCCAAACTTTTATCTTAGGATAATAGCTCACCAGTGCTAGGATCGGGTGGACCAAACTCAAGAGAGTAACGCAGAACAAAATAATTATTCCACACATAAAGCTGATTATCACGGGGGTTATAGTCAATGGAAGAGATGAACTGGTAAGGATTAGGGAAGGTCAGAGAGATTGGTTCTTCACGGTTCATATTAGTATTGAAGGCATAGTCAACACGGTTCCCTGCAGCCTCACTGTCGTCATCAACATAGACTGTCCGTACCACATAGAGGACTCCACACACCATGAAAGCATTGGATGCCGAGCGTTTGTCATAGCCAGTTTCCCATGTGCCTTCAAAGCGTAGCGTATAAGGATTGAGCTGGCTTACCACTAACCGTCCATTGTTGCTTTCAGTGGCATAAATGACCCATAGCCCATTTTCATCAACAGCCAAGTCAATGTCAGTCTTGCCACCCCAACGGTAGGGTGAAGTGTCATGATAGTTGGCTGTATTGATAACCGTTTCTCCACTTTTAATCCGTGTCCGCAGATCATACTTGATAATGTTGCGTGTCCGCTCTTTATTGTAGAAGACTGCTCCATCATACACCACAAAGCCAGTGCCATCGACTCTGTTGGGCAAGCGATATGTGGTGGTATGTCGGGCACTTACATAGTCTTCCCATGAAGCATACTCTGTCAGGGTGTCTGTCCTGTATGGGATCCAAGGCATGACATATATTCGGTCTCCAGCTTGCAGAGGATCCTTGCACCAAGCTCCAGACTGGTGCTCTGATTCATGGGCTGAGGTAGGTTCCAGGATCTTGTGCAGCGTCCCTGGGCAAACGAATACTAGGGAGGGGATGTAAGGGAGGAAAGGATGTTTGGGTAAAAGGGGAAGGGTGAAAATTCAGAAAGAATGTGACAGAACAAGGAAAAAAGAAAGAGAGAGAAAGAAAGAGAGAGAGAGAGAGAGAGAGAGAGAGGATAAATTTGTAAAAGGTTGTTGGCAGGAGAAGTGAAATCCGCGCTGAATTTTCAGAGCAGCTGCAATCATGACACTTTTATCTGTTATTGAGCTGAGATGGCTCAGTGAAGTTAAATAATGGGAGGGATGGGTGGGGAGCATCAGAGGAAATCAACACTTTGTCCAGATCAAATTAAAATGGGAATATAAGGATTCCAAACCATCCTCCCCCACTTTGCTGTACTTTGAAATTTAGCAGGGAATGTTAAATTGTTTCCCTGCCAAAGTCTAAGTAATATCATTTGGATAATCCAGAAATATGAACAGGAGCAATGGTGAACTTGCAGCTACAACCCCATTCCCTGACCGTATGCTTTACTCATTCTATAGAGGTCAGAAGAGTTAAAAGCTCTGGAAAAGCAATTACAATGAGTAGACCTCACAAATCCTCTCCACTGCCGATACCTAGGGGACACATCTAATAGTATGGAAGTTAAAGCTTCCACATCAAATCTTTGAAATTAAATATGGAATTGCTGCGCTGTCTATCCTAAGGAATGAATTGAATAGTGTGAGGAGTAGTGTTGTTAGATTTATAGGATTGATAGTCCTTTATCTTCTATGGGTATCTCTAGAGGCAGGACACCTTTTTTTTTTTTTACTTTATTGGATACTTATAACATATTGGTTCCAGTAAATCTTGAAGTGCACTGATCAAAGGATTATAGCACTCATAAAAGAAATTTGCTTCACCAACTCCATGGACCAAGATTAATCTATGCCCGTCATCATGCAGCACCTAAAGCCAAGTTTTACGTTGGCATAACCATCAATAATAATGAGGCAGAAAGAAACTGGACCCATTTCTGCATCTACAAAGGCAATTATTAGTGGTCTTTCTTTTCCTTGGGATTGCAGTAATTAGCTAGAATATCAGAGCTGCAAGTTAGCTCAGTGCAGTTCCTAAAACAAAAAGTAATCATGCATTTAGAAGCAGAAATTAGGAGCCCAGGTTTCAAACTTCCATTGCTTCAGACTCTTTTATCTCACACCCTTCCGGGAAATGTTCTTCTACATCTTATCACTGTCTTCCAAGCAGTTCTGAGGAAATGCCTTCTAATGGAAAAAGAATGAGGGCCTGCCAGCCTGAAATATTCTACCATTATTAAACATTATTGAATGGGCAATGGGAAAAGAAAAACAAGCACAAAATAATCCAAAGCTTGGCTGCTTAGAAGCCCACTGAATGTAAAAGATAGGATGTTTCCTCTTCCTCTGAAACAGACTACTTTTAAGCCCTGGGGACAGAGAGCTGTAGATTAGCACAGGGACTGTCTCCCTTCTGGAAATAAGAGCTTACAGAATCATAGCAGAAGGATGAAATTACTCAAAGCTTCTGCTTCCCATTCCTGGGTGCCATTGGAGCAATTTATCAGCCAGGTTTGATTCCGAGCGCAAAGGACATGAGGCTAGTGCACATGGCAGGAGGTGGAGGAGTGAAGTGACAGTGGGGGGGGGGGGAAGGAGGCTGGGCAGAGGGGGAAGGAAGCCCCTCCCATTCACCCACATCCCAATTGGTTGCCCGTAGTCTTGGGAAAAGCCAGGAGGAAAAAGTTTGAAAGGAAGACAAAAACAGGCCAGCATTCTGCAAGTATCTGCCTCTGGTTAGCTGGAGCAAGGCTGGGAGGAAAGAAAAGCATTTAGTGGTGGAAGGAGGGGTGGAGTGGATTGAGGAGAGCAGGATTGCAGCAGAGAATTCACCTGTCCATTATAGCGCAGTGTTACTAAGCAGCTATAGAGAAGACACTGGAGCTGTCAAGCCAAATGCAAATTGTAGGGCTTAAAGGCTGCAAGATGTTTTCATTAAGACCCAGGACTGTACTGCTCTGGTGTACAAGTATCGACACACCGGTATAGGGCGAGGAGAAACTGGATTGTCAGCAACCCAGTTACTGCTGGGTAGAAGCTTACAATTTCCACTATGAAAGTTATTTTTCTCACTCTGCAGCCTCGATGGCATTCAGGCTTTGTTATAGCAGCCCTAAAAGGTCTGGCAATAGGTTTTGTGGATGCACTAGTGAATTCTCTGCTCTCCCGTTATTACATCTGCACAGTCACTATGAAATGCCACATCATTCCAGATATAGCAAATCTTATTGGAGTTGGGGCATAACTTAGATTCCAGATCAAACTATACCACCACACATGTAGATGAGATACACCAACAGCCCTAGAAATGATTGGCAAATAATCCAAGGAGACTGGCAACAGTCATGGAGAAAAATAGCATTTTTGTCAATGCCAGCTCTCATAAATATTTACAAATACCCCTCCCCTGATTTCCCAGACTCAGGCAGAGCTACAGGGCAAATGGACACATCCATTTTTGCATAAAGGTGATTAGGTTGAGCATACACTATGCCATAGTTTAAAATGTTTAAATTTCCTCGAAATCAACAGGACTTATATGAGCTTAAGAGTATGATGGACGGTTGTTTTCAATGGTCGCAATCTCTAGATAACTCCAGAGGGGGCAAGCAGGGCTGAGTCAGCAACCTGGTGAGTTCGCTCTTATTCACAGTGTTTGGGTCTCCATGGAGATGTTGTGCTGCACCCTACTTAGTAATAATAAATAATTCTGATTAATAAATATTCTGCCATTCTAGCTGCTGGCAAATTCTGCCTCCTGAGCTCATTTGGAGAACTGGTACGTGGAATGGAAAAGAGGCATTCACAGTGAGCAATAATGAGTTTTGAAGAGGGCTGAGCCAGGGCTTTTCTAATGTACGGACCATACTTTTATTTTATTATTATTTTGTCTAAGAAGGCTGCAAGGGCTATAACCAATAACACTGTGATGACGTCAGAAATGTTCAGCCTGATTTTGAAGAGTGAAAGAAACAGGCTTTATTAGAGCTGAGGATGTCTTTTAATGTCCAATAAATATGTTGGTTTTTTCCCCGGAGGGTTAACGTATCTATTTTCCTCCTTCCCCTGGTGTAAAGAAATGCTGATGGAATTCAGTGTTATGATCTTGGGGGTTCTAAGGGAAGGAAAAATGGGGTTGGAGAAGCCACATGTGGCCCAAAGGTTGTCTATCCCGTTAAGAATAAGGATAAACCTAACTAGTAAGCATTATTTTTTCCTTGAAAACTGGAGATACAGTAGTTCTCAAGGAACCAGGATGAGCGAGCTAATGGTTATTTGGAAGTTACATTTCATATTACAACTATAATGTGCCACAGTGTATACATTTTAACTTTTTAAGTACTCTACGTAACTCATGCAAAGTTTGCATTGATATAGCAGGCCAAGGAAGACCACCTGCAATTTGCCTATTCACTTTTAATTAGGAAGAAAGAGAACTTATTTTGTCTCATTAACCAGATGTTTGAAGATCTATTTAGTTTTCTTGCATACAACAGAGTTATTATTTGTTGTCTAGTACAGTGGAAATGCAAAACGATAAATGGGTTTACCACTGTATGGCAATGAGTCAGGGAGGAGAGAAGCCAACTAGCCTAGATGTTAATGACAAGGTCTGTTAAAGATCCCTATAGTGTTTTCTGTTGTGAATCCCCAGACAAGAACCGCTTAATATGAAGCAGTTGGATTTTATAGTATTGTATGATGTTCCTTGTATTAGCTGTCTATCTCTGTCTAATCCATGATTTTCAAACCTTGTCATAGTGAGTTCCTCTAAAGTCAAGAGCAAACTCATTCAAGGCTCACAAAGTGTAAATTATGACCATTTCAGAGGTTTTGTCTTTACTGACATGAGGCTCAAGACTTAATTCTTAGGACCAAGTTGGTGTTGCATCAATTTGGCTGAACACAATTTTTTACTTTCATATTGATGACACCTGTATTCTATAAGCCACTTTTTATATCTTTCAAGCAAAGATCAGTTTTACTTCCAGAAATGTTATTGATTTTTTTTTTTATATTTGTGTCAGTAAAAAAAAAAACACCAAATCCCTGGAGCGTAATGTAAGAAATAACTGCGTACATCGCTCCTGTTGTAAAATAAGCCTAGAAATAAATGTTAGCCATAGAGAGGATTCCATAGCAAGGAACCTCAAGGTGTATGACTTGTTCAAGTTATCAATCACCGATCATGATACTTTCCTCCAATATTTACAATGGACTGTACCCTTTTGGTAAGGAAATTGTTTCTCTACTTATTATTGGGAGGGGCCATGTTGGATTTCCCAAGCTGGAGAAGTCCCTCCCCTACTTATATCCCCAGAAGATAAAAGCAATCACATGGTCAGGGATCCATATCATGCCCAAATCCATCCAACTCTCCTGGGAAAATGATGGTCATGTGTCAAGGAAATAAGTTCATAATTGAAAATGATGTCCTAGGTGGAAAGCCAGAGTCTGAACCTGGGGGCTCCAAATGCCATGTCTACTGACTATCCTAGCACCTGAAATCTCTTGGTACTTATTAATGGAACTTGGAGTATTTTTGTCTATAGAGTAGCCTTCTAAGTCAGTGTTTTTCAACCTTGACAATTTTAAGGCATGTGGACTTCAACTCCCAGAATTCCACAGCCAGCAATGCTGGCTGTGGAATTCTGGGAGTTGAAGTCCACATGCCTTAAAATTGTCAAGGTTGAGAAACACTGTTCTAAGTGATAAATTCAAAGGAAAGTTGCCTTTAGCCCAGCAATTCCTAACCAGCCTTATCTATTTCGACAGTATCCAGATGTGTTGAACTTCATTTGCCATTGTTCTGAACCAAGAAGGCCGTAGGAATGTCTGGCTGGTCTACATGTAACTATTTAAATCTTGTGCCACTATTCTGTCATGCACTGCACATTGTGTTTTTCCTTTCTTTCAAATAAGGCTGTCAGTTATGGGATGGAAATGGGCAGATTGCCTGGAGCCGTTCTCTGATCCTGCTTCTTCAAAACATGCAGCTAAACCCAAGAAAGGGCACTACAAACTTGAAGAAAAAGAGGAGCCTCAAGAACAGAAGTACTATGAATGTCATGATTTACAGTACATCAAATTGTATGCTTTTCTATAGAGCAATCATGGAGATGGATACACATCCTTATATCTATTGATGCTTATAAGAACAGCTGGACCATATTTAAAAGTATACTGCCTATTTAATGAAGCTTATGGTTTGTGTTTCTTTGCATTTGTGTAAGATATTTGTTTGCACATGTGTATTTTTATATATATGCAAAACGTTCAGATAAATACACACTCAAACACATGCAACTATATTGTTCTTAATGTAAAGATATCTACATGCCTCTGGTTATGTATCTATATGCCTCTGGTTATGTAGGTATCTACAGGTAGTCCTCAACTTACAATCATTCATTTAGTGATCATTCAAAGTTACAACAGCACTGAAAAAATGACTTATGACCGTTTTTCACATTTACGTCCATTGCAGCATCCCCATAATCTTGTGATCAAAATTTGGATGCTTGGCAACTGGCATGTATTTATGACACTTGCAATGTCTCAGGATCATATGATCACTTTTTGCTCCTTTCTGACAAACATAGTCAATGGGGAAGCCAGATTCACTTAACAACCAGACTAACTTAACAGTGATTTTCTTAACATCTGTGGCAAAAAAAGTCATAAAATGGGGTGCAACTCACTTAGCAACTGTCTTGCTTAGAAACGGACATTTTGGGTTCTATCGTGGTCGTAGGTTGAGGCCTACCTGCAAGTGAATGTGCTGCCTCCACTTTTTATTTTCACCCATTAGACTGGAGATGTCGACTACAACATAACTTGACCTGAGCAGTGGTTTGTTTTACATGAACATCTCTGCCATTTTCAGTTTCTTGACCCCCATTTTGAAGCTAAGGAACCTTAGATGGGAAAGGATGGTGACAGGGAAGAGGTGAACAAGATTCAAAGAATTTCAGGGCTCTAATCTTGCCTCCCTGCTCTGAACACTTATTTGGCAACCTTGCCCCGAAGCAGTTTCCTGGACTTTCACAGGTTCAGCTCAACCCAGTTTCCCATCTGGGTTGGTGGGGTGGGATGGATGACTCCTGGCACAGGGAGGAGAAACACACCATTAAAGAATGAAGCGCTGGAGAGGGGGGGCAGCACAAAGCGTTAACTGGTTCCGATCCCTCATGGATGGGGTAGTGCCGACTCAGCCTTCTAATTCGGGATGGGGGCAACTGTGTTCTGGGGTTGGGGGAGAAGATGTCAGAAACAGAGAAGGAAACGATCAGTAAAAAAAAAACCACATCCAAAACCATGGAAACCTGTGGAAAAGAAAAGTATAAGTATATGCCTCCATCCCCAATCTTGGGAAAAAAATTCCAGACTAATATAGTGGGGGGAAAAACATGCTTTTAGAACAAACTAAACAGAAAGAAAGAGAGGGGAAAGAGGGAGAAAAGAAAGACATGGTTTGGGTAGAATCAAGCCTGGCTTTTTAGTTGTACTGCCTTGCAAATAATTGGTTGAATTCCTAGATCTAACTTGACAGCTTGTCTCGTTCAAAGAGGCTCATTGCAATTGTGATTTCAGATACTTACATTAGGTTAATAAATCTAGTCAATACAACACATTTACTGACCCCCTTCCTTCATGCACCATCCCCATCTTCCCCAATAACAGACAGAGTCAATGATCATGACTGCAGCTTTCTTTAAATTAAAAAAAAAAAGCAGAAATGGAAAAGAATTTTTTAAAAAACACAAAATCACCCAGGATTTGATCAGGAATTAAGAAAAAAAGAAAGGAAGGAAAGAAGGAAGGAAGGAAAGAAGGAAGGAAAGAAAGAAAAAGAAATATGTACAAAAATTAAAAATGCCCACATTGAAGTGGTTAGTATATCAGAATAATTTACTACATACATCTTTACTTTGGGCCAGTGGTGGGATTCAGCCAGTTTGCACCACTTCGGCAAAACTGGTAGCTAATTTTTTGTTGCCCAGGCCCAGATTGGACTTCCGGAAGCGGCATCCACACAGAGAACCGGTTGTTCACATATTTGAATCCCACCGCTGCTTTGGGCTTATCTAATTTCCATGTCATCTTGATAGGTAGAACTCACCAAAAAGAGAAAAAGGCTTTTCAAGCCGACTCGGAGTATATTTGCAAGGAAAGTAAACTCAGTTTGAGATACAGCTTGGGAATTCTCATCAAAGAACTGCGCAAGCTTTGAGTGAAATTTCCACTGAAAGATGGATTACAAATGAAGTCATTAATGCTCAGCTTTAGCAACATATGATTCACTTTGCTTGTCAGAGCATGGCGAAGGCTAAGTTTATCCTTGCTTAGGGTGATGTCACTTAGTATGAGCATCTATTCCTTAGATAGTATATTACTAGTTGTAGACTTCCCCAACTGGTGGCATCCTGACTAAATTACATCATCATCTGCAGTCACCATGGTCAGGGAACTGTCAATCAACACTTCTGGAAGATGGGGGAAGGTTCCAATGTGTAAGAAGCTCAAAAGAACATCCCCATTACATCCAGTAGTGGATTTTTTTTATTTAAAAAAACGCTTTCATTTCAAGAGAGCACTTTGAGGCTTGGGAGAAGGAAAAAAGGCCTCATTGATTGCAGGCCATCTACTTTTGCTGAATATAGGATCAAAAGGTATACATATCTCCTGGGATCTTGTTGAATGTCTAAAAACCAAATGGCTTCCATAACAGTAACAATGATCAATGTATGCATGTAAAGACTTTTTAAAAATACACAGGAAGCCCTGGAAGAAATATTTGAAATGCCCAAAATGCAATCAAAGTGTGTGTGGGGGGTGTGGGTGTGTGTGTGTGTGGGGGGGTAAATTAAATAAAAACAAACCACCTATTGTTCTTTTGTAATTTCAGAAAATTTTAAGCAAAGAAAGAAGAAAGAAAGAAAGAAAGAAAGAAAGAAAGAAAGAAAGAAAGAAAGAAAGAAAGAAAGAAAGAAAGAGAGAAAGAAAAGTGGTTGAGGTAGGCCAAGGTACCCAGTTGGTTGCCATGGAAACATGAAGAAAGGAGCAGAGAAAATCAGTTGAATGATAAAAGACGCAGGCAAGAACGGTTTGGAAAAGTGTTTTTCCCCTGAAGGAAGCAAAACCAGAGAAGGACAGGTATCGCCCAAGCATTCATGGTGCTTCCCCTCCACATGTGAGCACGGAAACATGGAACGTTTGGCAGGGCTGTTGTTAGATGATGGCTTTACCTCCTTTATTTGCTGAGTGGCTGTTTAGTGATTGGCAGATTTGTTTCTAGAGAGGATGCCAATTGGAATTAGTGAGACCAAAGAAAGAAGAGGAAGGGAAGCCAAGGGGAGGGCAGGTGGGAGGTTAGGAGAAGAAGGGGCAGGGAGAAGAGGGAAAGGAAGGTCACATTAAATATGGCCACAGAGAAAAAAAACAAGGTGCTGGGTTAGGGGTGGGGTCAGTGGTAATGTTGTTGTTTACCTTTCTGTTCCACTTCTACTTTATGCATCGAAGGGAGAGAAGAAAAAATATATTGAAAAAAAAGGTGCAAGAAGGAAAAAAAAGAGAAAAGAGATTAAATTCCTTTTGTTTCTCCCCCCACCCTAAAGTAGCCATTTTTTTCTTCAACTGTCCATCTCCCATCCCCCAATCTTCCCACCAGCAGAACAAACACCAGCCCCTCCCGCTTTGGAGTCACATCAAGGCAGAGAGCGTGTGGGGTTTGCTGGGGGAGGTCTCCCCTGGGTCTCCCCCTCCTGACAGCATCTGAACAGTTTGAGGTGTTCAGGGTCCTCCTCCCCACCCGCCCTTAAACTTGGAGCCAGCGACATTGCCCTTCAAAAGAAAAATCAGAAATCAAAGCCAACCAGGAAGGACAACAAAAGAGAAAAACACAAAAGGGGTCTGCTGGGCGGAAAGCATTTGCAGGAGAAAAGAGCAGAATTGGGGAGAGAGAAAGAGTCAGCAGAAATATGAAAAAGGGAAAGAGTAAGACTTTGAAAAGAAATAAATATATTCCCCAAATCTTTACTAAATGTCTAAGGAAGGCATACCCAACCTGACCACATCTATGCACTACCTGTTCACCTACTCTAAATCCAACCAAAACTATTCTTCTGTAAATATAAATCAATATATATATTTCTACATATTAGTACCGTATTGTTCCTATGTCTCTCTTCCTCATAGCATAGATCCAATGCCAGTCAGTTCTTAAGATGAGGGGCAGACTCTATGGCAGGGCTTTTCAACCAGTGGTACGGGTACCACCTGTGGTACATTGGCACCTGGCAGGTGGTACGCGACCATCCTAGAAAAGTGGTAGCAGGGGAGGGGAATGAGCTGAACCATTGGCAGCACCGCACAAGCCTAAGCAAGAGATGGCTGGAGCTGCAGGGCTGTCAGGGCTCAGCGGAAGTGCCAGGATCAGTGCTTCTTCGGGACTGTCAGGGCTCAGTGGAAGCACCAGGATCAGTGCCAGGCTCCAGCTGGAGCTCAGTGTTGATTCTAGTGCTTCTGCTGAGCCCAGAAGAAGTGCCGATCAGCTGGAATGTTGCAGCATCTCTATGGAGCATTTTTACGGGTCTCACCGCAAATACATCAACAGCAAATTTGTTTTGTCCAAGGGAAGGTCATACTACAGAATATATTGCAGTCACCATTATTATTAGTCCAGAGGAAGGGGCTTAAACCCCTCAATGTACCTCAATGTTGACTCCTGGTGACTGCCAGGACTATTCCCTGCAGTTTTCTTGGCAAGACTTCAGAAGTGGATTTGCCATTGCTGCCTTCCTAGGGATGATAAAGGGCTCTGCTCCATGTTCACCCGGCTGGCTTCATGCGTAAGGCGGGACAAGACTTCACAGCCACCCAGATTTTGCCTGATTCCTTAATGTCTGCACTAAACTGGCTTTCACCTGTAACCTTTAGAGTAATTTTAAACTTCTGAGTTTAACCCTTGTTTTAGAATTTTTAAACCATTTAGAATTATGTGTTAAATGTGTACTTTTTTGTAAGTCGCTGAGAGCTCTTGGAGTGGGCAGCATCTAAACTTATAAGTACAACTATAAATAAATACATTTTCTGCAATTTTGTAGATATTGAAGTGCAACATTCTGCAGAGTCTAATATTCGGCTAACTTGGAAGTAGCTCTGAAGACATTTTAGAAAGATCTAACCCTTAATCTAGGGCAGTGTTTCCCAAACTTGACAATTTTAAGGCATGTGGACTTCAAGTCCTCATGCCTTAAAATTGTCAAGTTTGGGAAACACTGATCTAGGGCTTTATGAAGTCATTCTGCCATTTAGCTACAGTTTCTCAACTTCCTATCTAGATTAAAATCTCAAATCACAGGTTCACGTTCAAAATTAAAGAATGCTAGTTACTAGATATTCCAATGCTGACGCCAGGGCTTAGAGATTCTCTATAAGTAATACCCAATCTTCAATGGACAAATGGAAGATTCCTAGGATTGGCCCCAAGTAATAGAGATATGATGGATGGCAGGTGAATAATTTAGAAGGTAGTAACATATGAGTTAAGTAATATATGAACTAAGACCTGATGCAGCTGAGCCATCGCACTAGAAAATGGGAATCTGGGAGTTCTACCATCAAAGCCAGCTAGGTAACCTTGGGCCAATCATTCGCTTTCTCAGCCCTAGGAAGGAGGCAATGGCAAACTACTTCTGAAAAATCTTCCCAAGAAAGCTGCAGGTATTTGTCCAGGCAGTCTTCAAGAATCGGACACAACTGAATGAAATATATACATATAATGAGCCAAGGTGGCGCAGCAGTTAGAGTGCAGTACTGCAGGCCACTTTAGCTGACTGTGTTCAGCAAGTCAGCGGTTCAAATCTCACCGGCTCAAGGTTGACTCAGCCTTCCATCCTTCTGGGATAGGTAAAATGAGGACCCAGATTGTTGGGGGCAATGTAAATATATATATATATACATTGCTTACTGGTGTACACCGCTTAGAGAGTGCTTGCACTTAAAGCGGTATATAAGTCTCATAAATAAATAAATAAATAAATAAATAAATAAATACATATATGTATGTATTTTCTTTCCCCTTGTTGAAGAAAACAACAAATACAAAAAAAAAACAATTCAACTGGTAAAAAACAACACATATCAACAATTCAGATTTTCAAGAAATTTTCAAGACAAATTTTCTGGAGTTGATCAGTTTATAACATAATTTTCCAGGCATGTTTTATTGTCATAACATTGCATTTGTATTATATTGTTAATATCGTAGTGAGTATATGGTTCTCTATTAATTAGTTTAACCTAACAATATATATAAGTTAAGGCCTGTCAGATACATTTATTTAGATACATTTATTCTCTCAAAACAAGATCTAAAGCAACATATATTGGAGTGATGATTTCTGAATAATCTACAGATATTGTAACTGCAGTGTTACAGAGAACAAAATTAAGCAGATATGCAAGAAGGAAATGTCAGAAGTAGCATGTCTTTACTCCCTGATGGAATTTTTATAAGAAGAAGCAGGAAACAAAAACAAGGATATAGTGTTATAACGAGAGCTGTGGTTTGAATGAAGCTGAAACCTTTCTGAACTCTATATAAATTATGGCATACAGTAGCAATCACACCAACTCGTGTTCTGAGCCCAATGGCAACTTGTGTTTAATTTAAGCTGCAGTTCAGAATGTAAAGGGTAGCTCTATAGTGTGGTAAAGGCAAGCCTGGACAACACAAATTCATAGAAAATTTGTCCCAATTATCTACGGGTGATGATGTCTAATTAGAACCTCCACATTCAGAATAGGGTTTCTCTAAGGTTCTTTTGCTCTTATATTTTGACTGTGACCTTTATGGAAATATCTGTCTGCCCACAATATGGAGACAGTGCTAAATTATATCTTTCTGCTTTTTATAGTCTATTATCAATACAAAATAAAATTTGAGTAAAAAGAAATATCAGAGTAGCAAGGTTACTGGAGGTGAACTTCACCTTCAAAGATGCATAAATAGCACTTTCATAAAATTAACAAAACTAACATAAATACAATGGTATATGTATTTATACCATTGGCATATGCATATACATATATACACAGGAACACAATGGAAATTTTGCTAAGCAAATTCATGCTAGTACTATCCTGGGAGTCCATTAGGACATGCTCAAGGCACAGACTAGAGTGAGTGGTTAAAAAATGAAAAACCCCAGAAGAAGGTAATGGCAAACTACTTTCATGGGTTACCAAGGAAACTATATGGATATGCCCATAAAGTCATCAGAAATTGAAGGAGACTTTACATTTCACGATTCAAAACTTTGGGGAACACTATATGGTCCCAGATGACTTGGCAATAGAAGAAGATAAATTATAAGTTCATAGTATCTTCAAATTCTGTCTCTATAATTCTCCAATTTATCTTTTGCAGGGATTAATTTGGAAGGGTTGATCTTAACTTTTCAGTGCCTTTATCATATATTAAAATTAAACATTAACAGATAAGATATTTTTGTTTTTCAGTAAGACTCTAGATCAGCTTTTACCTGTCTGATGTCCTCTGTAAGAACTATGGTAATAACCCTAGCTCATATGACCACTGATGGTACATTACAGAAGATAGGAGTTGTAATCCATTGCATCTACTGGGTATTAACAACTCTCTGAATTGCTAAAAAATACACCAATGCTAATATCAGAATCAGCATGTGCAGTACATTATTTACTGATCACTTGCATAGAATTTGGAGAGAAGAAAATAAGAAAGACTTATACACCTCTTCATAGTGCTTTGCAGCACTCTCTAAGCAGTTTACAGAGTCAGCCTATTGCCCCCAACAATCTGGGTCCCCATTTTACTGACCTCGGAAGGATGCAAGGCTGAGTCAACCGTGAGCCAGTTAGGATCAAATGCCTGCCAGTGGGCAGAGTTAATCTGTAATGCTGCATTCTAACCATTGCACTACTGGGGCTCAACATAATAGAAGTGGTTTGCCAACATGTTTTGTAATTCAGAAGATTAGAATTTCATCCCATAATTTATTAGAATGCTTGTTAGATAATTATTATCTATTATTAATTATTTATGAGCCTTATAAATACAAGTTTCTTGTATATAAAGGAATGAATCTAAATTGTGGGAATATATGTGTGTAAACAAGAATATAGGGAATGATGGTAGAACAGCTGAAGCCAGCAGGATCTTGAAGCACCGAGAAACTGTCACTTAGACAAGTTTAAAATTAGATGGTTTGTATTAAGCCTATGGAACAGAGGGTCTCCAAAATTAAAAGACAACCCTTTTAGGAAGTCAAACAACAGTTGACTGGCACCTGGCTAACACTGCAGATTTCTGTAAGAAAAAATATGCCTAGACATTTAATTTTGTCACTGGAATCAACTTTCAAGAAGGAAATTTCAGTTATAGATTATCAAATCAATGAAAAGTGTATGTGTGAGGGAAGGGAAGGTATTTCTGCTCCATAGGTTAGCCATTAACTAAA